ATTTCTTATAAAAACATGGGGAAAAGGCAATGAGCAAAAGAAAAAAGAAATGACCCAAAAAATTAACAAGAAATTAGTAAAAAAAAAAAAAAAAATTTAAAAACAAGAAAATGTGTGGAAAAAATGAAATTTAACAAACAAGGAAATTTCCTGGAAATAGTGTTTAAAATTGTTATAATTATAACATAATTTGATTAATTCAATTCAATTTTATTTATAAAGCCCAATATCACAAATCACAATTTGCCTCACAGGGCTTTACAGCATACGACATCCCTCTGTCCTTAGGACCCTCACAGCGGATAAGGAAAAACTCCCCCAAAAAAAACCTTTAACGGGGAAAAAACGGTAGAAACCTCAGGAAGAGCAACTGAGGAGGGATCCCTCTTCCAGGACGGACAGACGTGCAATAGATGTCGTACAGAACAGATCAGCATAATAAATTAACAGTAATCCGTATGACACAATGAGACAGAGAGAGAGAGAGAGAGAGAGAGAGAGAGAGAGAGATGCAGGTAATGACAGTAGCTTACAACAACATTAATGAAAGTAATAATATTATAGTTATAGTTCTGGCTACTGTGGTACAATATGTTGAAAGTATGTATTAATATCTGACAGTATACTTGTGTGACAATAGTCATATGTGTATAATAACAGTAGAAGTATGACTAATGACTAATGATGGCAGCAGCAGCAGGAGGCATCTGGCAGGACCACGGCAGCAGCACAACCACACACGTCATGCTGTTCAGGCACCGCTGCGATATGAGTTATAATAATTTGATTTTTAATTTATAGTGATTTATGATTATAATTTGGTTTAATTATAACATAATAACATAATTTAAAAATGTAATAATAATAATAATTACAAATATTGTTTTTTTCTAGCTTTTTTCTTTTTTCCCTGTTTTTCAAAATCAATTTCTAATCTTTTTTTTTCTTTTTTCTTTTTTTCGCAATTTGTGAGTCATTTCTTACCAAGTTGCCAATACTTGCGAAAGGCGTCTGAAAGCAGCACCTGAAAAATGCAGCAGTGACTTGGTAAAAAACAATGGGTTTCACTGTTTTTGGTCTCAAACAGTGCTCTGCAGTGAGCTGCACCTTGGCAGGAATCTCAATTAGGTAGCACACTATCCACCATCCCTTCCGCATTCCAAAGACTAAGGGCCAGTCCCAATACCCCCCTTAGCCCTACCCCTTGGCCCTACCCCTACATTTGTGCATTCAACTAGCCCTTCAGAGCAAGGGATTTCAGATGCTGACTTGCCAGCGAGGAGTAGACGTCGCCATGGCTACCACCGAGCAAGAGACAGGGAAAAAAGTTCATACATAGCTAACGTTACCGTCGTCAGGATGCTTGTTAGCTAGCTAGCTAGCTCGCATTATCTGGTGTCTGTCATCTGTCCTGTTCTGCAAATTTGTCGGACTTTTCACATTACGATAACACGCCAGCTAGTATAACTATGCTGCCTCATAATGTTAGCTGGTTAGCTAGCTAGCAGAAGTCCCTTGTTGTCTGTCGTTCATCAAACGAAGCATGATGAATGTGGCAAATGCGATCGGTTGGATGAATGAGACTCCATTGTAGATGCCAGATGGAAATGTAGATGACTCGCAGCTTCCTATTTAAAATAGTTTCGTATGTGTGAACGTAACCAACGTGGTGACGTAGTGAGTTGTGTCTCAATTCCTAGGGAAAGATTTCTACCCCTACCCCTTGTTGCTTCATTTTGAGGGCCAAGGGATAGTGGGCAAGGGGGGCTATTGGGATTGGGCCCAAGTCACTCATATAAAATGCTACTTAAGAAATGTTGACATGGTATGTATGAAATGTACAAATGAAACATATTTGTGGTTTGCAGAAAAGCACAATGCCAACATTTCCTCTGGCGACTGGGCTGGTTCAAGCATCGTGACAAAGGTGCAGTAAAGTTGGGAGTCTCCAACTGTCCAATTACCCTGTATTTGTTTCTTGTATTCACTGGAGAATCAGGCACACTCTCAGTTTGGCTCTGTTTCTGGACTCTCCAGATGGGTCGGAGGCCTGGTGGAGCTCTGCACATTTGGCTCACCCTGTGTGTGTGTGTGTGTGTGTGTGTGTGTGTGTGTGAGTGTGTGTTGTGTGTGTGAGTGTGAGAGAGAGTTTGTACGTGAGAGAGAAGACAATCAAGAAAGAGGTCGTGTAAAAGAGGGAGACTCGTGGGTGACAGTCTCCAAGACAGAGCGAGACAGAGGGACAGCATATGTGTGTGAGTGTCTGTGGGCAGTCATGTGTTACACACCCAGCCTGACTAATACCATCTGCCTTGTATCAGGGGTCTGTCTGGGACTGCCCTCTCATCTCCACTCTTCTTCCTTTTCAATCACTTCTCTTTATTTAGCTCTTTTGTTTCTCATTTCTTCTTTGTATTGTGCCTCAGTAGTTTAGGCTGCTCTTTTTCATGCTAGCGATGTTTTAAACATCGAAAGAAACGAAAAAGTCCTTTGTAACTTACATTTAAATATTTATTCGTTTCTGGCAAAATGCAACGTCACTCCATGTCCATGGCCATGGAGCAGTGAGCTCTTACCTATATGAATAAAAGAAAAAGTCCACCACTCAAAGATGTGACAAGAGACACTGAGATAGTTAGGAAAGGAGAGAAAGAAGGAGATATGTGTCAGAGGAAATCAGAATCTGAGAGAAAGGAGTGGGCGACAAAGGCGGCAAAGACAAAGAGCAAAGAGGGGAGAAAAAGAGCAAGAAGATGAAAGCTCTGTAGTTCAGGCCTACTCCCAGCTTGGCCTCAAATCTCCTGTTACCATGGTGATTTGACTGCCGATACGCTGTCCCCCCCGAGACTCTGTCCTGAAAACACAGGGGGAGAAAGAAAGAGAAACAGCAACACAAGGGCAGGCAGAAGGACAAAAAAGCACAGGTGTGCTAGACAAGGACTGCAACAAATGTTCAATATACCCTCTTTGCCGTTCAGGGAACCTTCATGCATCCAGCTGAGCTCAATGGAGCTTTTGAAAGGTTGTTACTATATGAACAGCATTTAACTGTGATGCCACTTGCATGGCACCAAATGTTACGAACGTTCCTCTTAGCTCCTTGGAGTGTTTTCGTGTCTTTCAGCTGATTGTTTTGGTTTTACGGCGCCCAACTTTACTGTTTTGGGTTATGGTCATCAACCTTTTTCCTTTTCTTTCTTTTTTTTGTTTTAACAAAAACATTTGATACGCTCACTTGCAAATCACTGAGCAGCATCCAGACAATGTTAGCGACTAACGGGTGAGCATAGTGAAGCATTTAGCAGTTAAAGAGCCAAATACTTCACTCAGGATTTGGTGGAGACCAAACTAGAGCTAATCAGTGAGTAAATACAGGACTTACTTTTGTCAGGTGGCCAGAGACACAACTACAAATGAATGCCAATGTTGCTCCGTGTCTGCTGGATGTGTAATAAGCAACCATTTGCTAATACGTTAATATGTCAGTGGTGGGTTTACAGGTTGTTGTGCTGCCCCCAAATTACCGGAAGGATTTAACATGTCATGTAAGGAAAGTAGTCTTTTATGGTTTACCGTAAAACTTTTTTTTTTCCCGTTTTTTTTACCGTCAAAACTTTAATAATAGCCTGTGCTATTTATTGCTTAAATCACTGAACTCAACAGGCTTATATTTGAGACATGCGTCTATATTCTGACTATATGACTGCTTCAGAGGTAACATAGGGAGTCACCACTTTTTTTTTCACATCTCTTGTGTGTCTTAGGCCAGTATATCTCAGAAGATTACTGTCTTCTTTGATGCTCATACTAGTTTCAGTAAAATGAAATGAATGATTGAATTGTGAGAATCTAACCAAACTAAAAATATGCAGCATCTCCATATTATATTTATATGTGTGATCAAAGCACCTAACTAACATTAACTCAAGTGGGTAGCCAATAACGTGTTTTATATATCCAAAGAACTTCTATAAAAATGAACTGCTTGGCAACCAGACCATGCGTGTAATTGAGGCATTTATTTGTCAGAATGTGTAGCTACACAGCTAGTAAAAGGGACTGGTATTTATTTGGGACTAGGCTTTTAATTGAAGTTTAACAGTAAATTCAAATGGTTTTCTCAGTATTTCACCTGCAAAATATCCCACTGATCATAGTACTACTTTCCACTTTCTAGGTGTATAGCGTTATGTAACATGAGCTGCTGATATGAATTCTCAACCACCAAAAAAAGAAAAAAAAAAAGTTTTTTTTTTTTTTCACATTAAAAGTCTAGTTTGTAGGATTAATGGGCATCTATTGGCAGAAATGGAATGAAATATTTAAGTTTTCATTAGTTTATAATCACCTGAAACCTGGAATCATCATGTCATCGCTACCTTAGAATGAGTTGCTTACATTTACATATGGAGCAGGTCCTCTTCCATGGAGTCCACCATGTTGTTCAACAGTAGCCCAGAATGGACAAAGTAAACACTGTCACCAGGAAAGATTTGCATTTGGCCAGTGTAGTTCTTCTGCACACTTGCCACATGGGAGAAATTTTAGTTGGTTGCAATCTACAACCTCACCACTAGAGAACAACAACAACATGGCTCATTCAAGATTAAGAAACACGAAGATTCTAATTTTCAGATAATTATAAACTAATGAAAACTTAGTTGTGAATATTATATTCCAGAAATTTCTGCCCATAGATGCTCCTAAATCCTACACACTGGACCTTTAATAATCCTGTAATGTTTCATCATGTTAAGTTGTTTGCATTGTTAACTTAGGTTTTTCCGCATCATGTTTATTATACATGATGCATTGTATGTGTACATATGAATATGCTTCATTAATGCATACTGGGAACGTGTCATTATTATAGTATCTTGTATTCAACTAAATGAGATCACCAATGTCACATAACTATAGGATAAAACTGACCACTGAAAGCTAATCAATCAGTGCTAACTGCTCTCTCTGTCTGTCTCTCTCTCTCTCTCCTTCCACAGCTGTATCATTCATGAGGCACAGCGCGTCATCCTTTGGATTTGCCGTGAGTTCCCACCTCCCTTTGCATTGATCAATTAGTCATAACTTTGGGCTCTGTGATTTATTAATGAATCCTGTTACCAAAGTGTTATTGGTCCCTTTGTCTCCAAGGTAACAGGGCAGAGAAGAGAGACTTGGCACGCAGCTCAGGTGCCTTTTGTGTTTGCTAAACACGTCTGCTGGCTTTCACCAAAATAAAGCTTCTTATTACCTATTTTTCTTTAAAGGAAGTGACTGGGTGTAATTAGTTTAAAAAATAAGACTTATTGAGAGTGAAGTGAATATTAAATCCCCCGCACTCTAAGCCAGTAAGGGCAAACGTGATTAGCATAATGTGATTGGAATATTATATACCATAATCTGCAGTGCTAGCTATTTCTTTATTAAAGATTGGGTTTTAATTAGGAAAGCTATCTATGACGGTTTTAATAAAGTAGCAAGAAGACAATACGTTGCTATAACCCTGTGCAGGGGGGTTAGATCACAGCAGCTGATTGCCTGTAGCTTTAGCTGCTATAATGTTGAAAGTTGACATTTTTCTTTTAGCTTTTACAGGTACATTATGTGACTTGAAAATTAAATGATAATGATCATATTTTATGATACAGCTTCAGGGCAGATAAGACTGTCTTAAGTTGTCTTTGACAAAGGATAACTAACAATGCAGCACAAAGTCATATACAGTATCATGTTGAAAGTAATGTTTTATCACCCTGTGGCAATAAAACATAAACAGTCTTGGTCATACATTACATTTTGAAGCAGCTCTTGTATGTTTCACACCATACCAAACATTCACTGGATCTTTAAAACCACTGATATGGTGAAAGATACTACATCTTTTGTGGCATATTAAACACAGATGTGTTGCAGTGGCGCAAATACTTATCTACTATCTAAAAAACACTCAAGTTTGTTGCAAAAACTGTGCTTACTTGCAACTTAAGACCATTTCCTCTTTTCATTTGTTGCTTGCTCTTTGTTTCTGCTGTAGTTTGATGCCACGCTGGACGTCCTGTCATCAGTCATTGTCCTCTGGCGCTACAGCAATGCAGCAGCTGTGCACTCAGCACACAGAGAGTATATGTGAGTACCAAGCAACCTGCTGAGTTTAATTAATGTTTGATTGATAATGAATCCATGTGGTCTGATGCAATTTGGGTTATTTTTCTCCACCTGCATTAAAGCAACAGAACATCTGCATTTGCAAACATTTACTAACATAAAATGTCATAGTTAGTCCACCAAAAGCCTCCACAACTGCCACAGTGCTCCACTGAAAAGGTTATCCAAGGTTTGGAACTCTGACACTATTCTATACAAAGATTATCCTTCATTCTGTGTTTTGGCCCAAAATTGCCATTGGTTTTGAGTTGGGTCAAGATCTGGTGAAGGCTGCCGCACATCATTTTAATGCTCACGTAACATCCAGTGTGCCCTTGTTGTGACTGAATGAGAAATTTACTGAATGTGGAATTGAAGCAGGATACAATCGAGAGTCGCTCTTGTCCTGTGAAGTGTAAGGGCTTTGTTCCTTTGCCCTACAATCCACTCATTTCATGCATGTGTGTGTGACATGTATTTATATTCTTCTAAAAAAATAAACCACTTAATATTGTTATTCTTGAATTGACAAATAGATCAGGTGGAAAAGGTGTTTGCATGGTCAAAGCACTGACATGCTGTACCTACCTGTCCACGTTCCGTATCCATTGTGTTTCCATACATTCCAACAGAAATAAAATGTGTTGTTTTTCCACTACAGTGAAAGAGTATTTCAGGGGCATGTGGGATGGATGAAGGGAGCTTTAAGCCAATAGGGTATTGTTATATTACTGGTGCCTTTGAGAGTGTGAAGCCTTGTCTTATTAGGCTTTCAGTCATGCTTGGCATATCCACCTGGACAGATTAAATACTTTTTCCAAACTCTATTTCTTCATTCGAGGGTGAGAGCGAATGGAGCAATATATTCCTAATTGAACAAGGTCACTGACTGTACATCAGTGCTAAACACAAGCCTGTTAATCCAGCGGTTTTCAGGCCTGCTGCAGCTCAGCTGAGTCCATCAAGTGGCTGTCAGGTTGCACAGAGCCGTGTTCGTCTCGTAACAGCACCACAGAGGTGCTGCAGAGGATGAAAGACTGAGCTGCCACTCTGCCATCCATTAACAAATAATATTTTACTGAACTTTTTTTAAACATAAACAGTGTTGCTGATTGTTAGCAAATCAAATATATATATATACATACATAAGAGGAAAAAAAGACCCAACAACTAAATAAAATTATAATTAAAGGGCCAGTGTGTAATATTTGGCATGGTTTATTGTCAAATCTGAATCTGAATCTGAATATTCTACCCATTAATATGTTTATACAAGTGTATAATCGCTATAAAATAAAATTCATTTGGTTTTCGCAGCCTTATAATTATGCTTTTATATATATATATATATAGCAAGGGCCTTGTTTTAGAGAGGTCGCCATCTTGCGCCGCCATGTATGTAAGGCAGACCGAGAGGACAATCCAGCCAGCCAGAGAACGCGTTTAGCGTGAATAAATAAACCAACGAAGACAGAGGAAGGAAGGAAGAAGGAGGAGGAAACAGCAGAGAGTGTTAGTAGTTCGTCGATACAGAGTAGTGAAAAGTTTTTTTTAGTTATAAAGTTTGCGAATGGACCACACTTACCACGCTACAGGAGAGAATGAACCCGAACCGTCATCTGTGAGGAAAAGAAGATGCAACTTCACTCCTTGTGATGCACTCTCTGCGGCGCTTTTCCTCCTGATGATATATCTCCCCAACAATGGTAGCACCGAATCCCATTCTGTGCAGCAAAATGGGAGCGGAGGATTCAGCCTCTCGTCTCGCCTGCTCAGCATCAAACACATGGGGTTCCTCATCTGTATGCTCCGGCTCAGACAGTCGTCCATTGCAGCTACTATTGTCCGGAGATACTGCTAGGCTAAATAAACAGCTGAGCTCTGTTTACAGGCTACGCTGTCAGTCAGTGTGCGGACTGGAGATTGGTGGAGCAGAGAGGGGAGGGGGTACCTGCTTGGTACTGTAAACGAGTATGTGTGTATGAAGTGTGTGTGTTACGCTAGAAGAGTCAGAGTTTGGGACGGAGTCTTTTACCCCCTGGAGTGTTACCAGAGTTTCTGGAGTGCTCAAATAAACAGGCCTTTTTCCCGAACGCTCCTCTGGTCTCCTGCTCGTGAGGGATTCATTACAATATCGTAACATGGTTTAGATTTCTAAATAAACATTCACCTCGTCGCCAGATAGACCTACTCCTGAAAAACCCGTGTCTGCGCAAGGCTTTTTGTCCCTACGAGGCCACCGTCATTTACCCGACGGGAGGGGTGAGCGAGTGAGCCCTGCAATCTAGAATTTGACCACTGATGTCACTGTTTTCAACCCATTTTACACACTGGCCCTTTAAAAAGTAATTCTTAGAGAAAAAAAATCAAACCTATATTCCTACATAAATATGCACCACAATCTACTCTGACCTACAGCTGATTAGCCCTCACACACACACAAACTGTGCAAAACAGCACCATGCACATGGCATGTGATTCACTTCAAGATCCATCCACACCAGCAGTGTACTCCAAGTAGTTTCTCCACTTTGCCACATATTACTGTGAGAGAGATTTATTCATATGATGCAACTTTTGCCAACTCTGTGACCATTCCTTTAAAGACGCCTAACCTGGTTTCCTCCCGTCTAATTTTCTTTCCCACCATTATACTGGTCTGAATGAAGCCCCTGGCTCCACAGTGAGATGTCATTTGTGGGTCACTGAGAACATACATCCTCGGGCAGAACTTAGAAGTTAGTCTGGGTGATGTTTTTTATACGTTCATGAACCTTCATCCAGTAGTTGTGATTCATGGGACATTTACAGAGTAAGTGAAGAAGAGTCCCTTCAGAGCTGCAACACGATCAACAGTCAGTGTTGTTCCTGAGTTTAAGCTTAAACAGTCTGCAGGGGGTCCAATAAAAGATTTTTCTATACTTACTTCAAAGGATAGTGCACCCAAAAATGAAAATTCAGCCATTATCTATTTACCCATATGCCGAGGGAGGCTCAGGTGAAGTTTTAGAGTCCTCACATCTCTTGCGGAGATGGGGCTAGCAACACAACTCCACCTAATGGAGGCTGGGCGCCCCAGATTAAAACGTCCAAAAAACACATAATTGAAACCATAAAATATCTCCATACTGCTCGTTTTTAGTGATCCAAGTTTCCTGAAGCCCTGACATAAAAAGTTGTTTGGAAAAAACTGTTTTTAGCCTCATTGTAGCCTGTAGCTCTAACTGCTTCTGTGTACACCAAGCTCACGTGTGCACGCTTGCGTGCGAGACCAGCAAAAGCACGTGAACACACATGAAGGCGGTGCCCATGTCTCACAGTCTCGCACAAGCACACACACATGAGCACGGTGTATAGAGAGGCAGTTAGAGCATCAGGCTACAATGAGGCTAAAAGCAGAGTTCAAATGACATTTTTCCAAACAACTTTTTATGTTGGGGTTTCAGGACACTTAGATCACTACGGACGAGCAGTATGGAGATATTATATATGTACAGTACAGGCCAAAAGTTTGGACACACCTTCTCATTCAATGCGTTTTCTTTATTTTCATGACTATTTACATTGTAGATTCTCACTGAAGGCATCAAAACTATGAATGAACACATGTGGAGTTATGTACTTAACAAAAAAAGGTGAAATAACTGAAAACATGTTTTATATTCTAGTTTCTTCAAAATAGACACCCTTTGCTCTGATTACTGCTTTGCACACTCTTGGCATTCTCTCCATGAGCTTCAAGAGGTAGTCACCTGAAATGGTTTCCACTTCACAGGTGTGCCTTATCAGGGTTAATTAGTGGAATTTCTTGCTTTATCAATGGGGTTGGGACCATCAGTTGTGTTGTGCAGAAGTCAGGTTAATACACAGCCGACAGCCCTATTGGACAACTGTTAAAATTCATATTATGGCAAGAACCAATCAGCTAACTAAAGAAAAACGAGTGGCCATCATTACTTTAAGAAATGAAGGTCAGTCAGTCCGGAAAATTGCAAAAACTTTAAATGTGTCCCCAAGTGGAGTCGCAAAAACCATCAAGCGCTACAACGAAACTGGCACACATGAGGACCGACCCAGGAAAGGAAGACCAAGAGTCACCTCTGCTTCTGAGGATAAGTTCATCCGAGTCACCAGCCTCAGAAATCGCAAGTTAACAGCAGCTCAGATCAGAGACCAGATGAATGCCACACATAGTTCTAGCAGCAGACCCATCTCTAGAACAACTGTTAAGAGGAGACTGCGCGAATCAGGCCTTCATGGTCAAATAGCTGCTAGGAAACCACTGCTAAGGAGAGGCAACAAGCAGAAGAAATTTGTTTGGGCCAAGAAACACAAGGAATGGACATTAGACCAGTGGAAATCTGTGCTTTGGTCTGATGAGTCCAAATTTGAGATCTTTGGTTCCAACCGCCGTGTCTTTGTGAGACGCAGAAAAGGTGAACGGATGGATTCCACATGCCTGGTTCCCACTGTGAAGCATGGAGGAGGAGGTGTGATGGTGTGGGGGTGTTTTGCTGGTGACACTGTTGGGGATTTATTCAAAATTGAAGGCACACTGAACCAGCATGGCTACCACAGCATCCTGCAGCGACATGCCATCCCATCCGGTTTGCGTTTAGTTGGACGATCATTTATTTTTCAACAGGACAATGACCCCAAACACACCTCCAGGCTGTGTAAGGGCTATTTGACCAAGAAGGAGAGTGATGGAGTGCTGCGGCAGATGACCTGGCCTCCACAGTCACCGGACCTGAACCCAATCGAGATGGTTTGGGGTGAGCTGGACCGCAGAGTGAAGGCAAAGGGGCCAACAAGTGCTAAACACCTCTGGGAACTCCTTCAAGACTGTTGGAAAACCATTTCAGGTGACTACCTCTTGAAGCTCATGGAGAGAATGCCAAGAGTGTGCAAAGCAGTAATCAGAGCAAAGGGTGTCTATTTTGAAGAAACTAGAATATAAAACATGTTTTCAGTTATTTCACCTTTTTTTGTTAAGTACATAACTCCACATGTGTTCATTCATAGTTTTGATGCCTTCAGTGAGAATCTACAATGTAAATAGTCATGAAAATAAAGAAAACGCATTGAATGAGAAGGTGTGTCCAAACTTTTGGCCTGTACTGTATATATATATATATACACATATATATATATATATATATATATATGTATGGTTTCAATTATGTGTTTTTGGATGTTTTAATCTGGGGCGCCCAGCTTCCATTAGGTGGAGTTGTATTGCTACCTCCTCTCCCCTTGGATCTCTACAAGGCATGTGGGGACTCTAAAACTTCACCTGATCCTCCCTCAGCATATGGGTGAGTAGATAATGGCTGAATTTTCATTTTTGGGTGCACTATCCCTTTCAGTTTTACTATGTACTTAAAATGTAGTTAGACACATACATGCAACATACACATACACACCAAAAGTGACAGCATGCATTTTACGTCCTGTTTGCTGTGACAGAAACTGAACCATTAAAGTTTGACCAATGTGGTGTGTGCTCACACTTAGTGAAGAGCAGGATTTTAGACTTCCTGTGAGTTTGCATGTTTGTGGCATCTCCTGATAATACATATGCAAAAACAAAATAAGAATGTAGGAATGGGGCTGGATGAGACCATCGGGCTATAGTGCATCGGACTTAGGTAATAGATACTAAGGCAAAAGATAATGAGACATAGGAGGATATTATACCATTTTGAATTAGGTTGGTGCAAATGGATAAAGAGTGTCTTTTTATTCAGGTTACATTTGTATTAATCAGCACAGCTGTCTAGGTGATGTAACACTTTTCTTGTTAATGTGTGTATAATTTACCACATTTAATAGCTAGAAATCAAGTGACTCTGAATTTGAGACATTTTCTAAGGTGTCCTAGAGAGAAGCATTTCTCAAACGCATACAGACTTTAAAAGTGTCCTTTTCTAAGTCAATTGTGTCGCAACCAACCACCGTCCAAATCAGTAAAGGATAAACACCACCTCACTGCACCTGTCAGATACAGTGTCTCTGTTCTGTAGTGAGATAGATGGGACACAGCTATTGTAATTCAGGCCCAGTAGATGTGTCAGACCAAGCGAGACTGTAAATGATCGAGCAACGGAGAGGTGTTGAATAAGCATGTCTTATTCCATTGCTGCCAGAGCACAGGAGTGTGCATGTGCAAGGATCCCATTGCCCCACCCCCCAAAAGCATTAACCTCATTATCCCTGATATTTTTTTAATAAACAAACATCACAAAGTGCCGCCCTCAAGTGCTCTGATGGAAGTCGGCAACTTGTTTATTCTGGTAGCACACAGTGCCCCAAATACACTGCAAACAGTCTTCTGACTCATCTCACAAATACTGCGATCATGTTGAGAAATATATGTGTGAGATTATATGTTTGCATTATCACTAAAATCAGACATAAAGAGGTCTTTCAGTCCTATAGCAGTTTCTGTTATAACATTATACATCATGCACTGTGCCAGATATTGTCATATGGATAATTCTATCATTAGCCTGTGAAATTAACTTAATTAATATTCAATGTAATTGAAGAAAATGCATGAGTAGGCTTACCATAGCACTGCCAAATCACTTACCGACATATATGTCATTTTCAAAGGTCTAGGGTTGCACTGGTTGTAATTTAAGACAGTGAACAGGAGTTGTTAATGGCTGATTTTTGCTTTAAATTTTGCTAAAATTTTCCTTTATTATTTCATAGTGGTTGGTAAAAAACGTTACTAGTGTGCCAGACTGCCCAAAGCCACCGGCAGTATTATTTATAACTGTTTATGTCAGGATGCTTTGAACATTTGTTTGTGTCTTCGCTGCAGCAGGAAAATGACAAATTGTCCTGATTCAAATGCAAGAGAGAGAAACAAAAAACTGGGAGAGAGTGCTCTTGAATCAGATTCTTAAGGTTGTTGCTTTGCTTCAACTTTAACTACCTCATGGCAGGTTAAGCAGAGGGATCACACTCACTGAAGCGAACGCCTAACGTTCTGCTCTCTGTCTGTCTGTCTGCAGAGCATGTGTAATCCTTGGGATTGTGTTCGTTCTTTCCTCCCTGTGCATCCTTGGAAAGGCCATCCATGATCTGGCAACCAGGATGCCCCCGGAAGTGGTAAGACCACAAACACACACACACACACACACACACACACACACACACACACTCACACACACACACCTTTGAGGAAATTACATAAGCCCTTTGTACACAGAGATGACACTAAAGAGCTCCTACAAAGTCCCTTTTTCATGCCGTCTTTGCATTTTTACACAGCATCAAACAATGGCGGCATCATGCTGTTCCAGTGTTTGATTTTAGGCAGAATGCCGGCATTGCAGAAGCAATAGTGGCGTGATGGGCATGACATATAACACAACGGCACCTGCCCCTGGTGTGACATAAAACAGATGCACCAGCAGCGCTTTGTAAACAATAACAATGGCATAACTTGGCAATAACAATCATTTACTGTGTGTTGTATGTTCTAATCTCCTCTGCTTGAAGAGTAATGAGCTCCCAGACCTCATTGTTTTCCCAATTTGCCAACATTTTCAGCTGCTGTTCATCTTCCTTGAGTTAGCTACTAACTGCTAGTGGCTACATTTAGAGCTCTTGCAGTGGATTGCACGCATAACACCTTAACACACTGTTTATACGGATCTTATTTTGGTGCTATTACTACCCCCAGTGCTGGCTTAATGGTGAGGCATCTCTATCCCCATATACATATAATGAATAATATATCAGGAAAAGGATTGATGTCCAATGATATGACAGAGGCGAAAATATCTACATTATGTAGTGCGTAGTATGTGTCAAGCTTCACATCCCATAATGCAGCTCAAAAGTGTCTTTCATTAGACACGCTCTACTCCCCTAAATGTCCACTTTCAAACTCCACACCTTAAGTTTGTTACACAGGCTTTCTGCTCTAAATTTAATATTCTAAATTTTAAGCCCCAGATGTAACAAACTTTGGAAAGCTCCTCCAGAGACTTGACCTCATAGAAAATGGGAACAACATTGTCACAACATCAGCATGTTTAAATTGAATGTCAGGCTGTGATTCATGTGTGTTAAAAACAGAATGCTCTGATTTCTGTGTATAATAATCGTGCTGTATAGCTTTGTATTGAAGGGGCAGTGTTTTGTTCATTAAATGCTGTTAAATTCAAGTTTAAAACTTTTTTGTCAGGGATTGCAAGTGCCGTGACAGTGCAGCAGTTTAAACCTTACCTTGGGCTTTGTGATTTTCTTCAGCTGCTCCCAGCTATTCCCCCGACAATATAAACAACGTGTTTATGAGAAAAGTGGCAAACACAGGTGCATGTGTGTGTGTGTGAGTAAACAGCACAAATCACCTATATACACATTCTGTGCACACGTTCACATGCATACCACACACACACAAGTGAATGAAAATTTACAACAGCCTTGAGTTCCATATGTGCTCAATCTGAGTCAATACATACACATACAGTACATTTACACACAGAGCAACACACACGTACACACACACATCAGTCAGTGTTGTGAGCGAGGTATCTTTTTATAGCCCTCTGCTGTAGCTGCTCTGACGTCAGAGTTTTGTCTCCCTCCACCTGACTATTGTTCCTTCTCTCTGTTGGACACGCACACACATGCACACACGCTTTCTTTTTAATGTCAACACTTCACTCCCCTCCCATCTCCAACCTCTCTCTGGAGGTGTTAAGACTATGAATAAGGTCCCAAAATAGTCTCATCTTTCTGTTGCTGGGGCACGGCCCAACTCTTCAGTCGTCACACTGTTTGGGGAGCGCCCATTGCATCCTTTCCAGTTCTGTGCTTTGAACTCTCATATTTGGTTTGTAAATGATTTAACCTTCACCATCTGTCCATTTCATTAACCAGTAAAGCCAAGACAGAGAGGAAAAAGAGATTTGTACACTCCAAAGACACATAGTTCCTCTTGAAGTTCTCCATTAGGTAGTTTCAAAGCTCTAACATGCACTTTTTGATTTTGTTATATATCTCAGCAATGCTCCCAAATCCCAAAATATCACTGCTGATGTTTTTAAAGCACAACACAGTTCACATTTGATTTTTGAAACAGCCTTGAGCAGAGAGGAAATTTGAGACTTGGGGGACTAGTGGGACCTTTAATAGAGACAGGGGGTGTACCTTGCTCTGCGAAGTTTTCCCTGTAGACACAAAAAATACATTGTTATTGCACACGAGGCCTAACAAATGTGTTGGAAGCATTTCATTCCTCACAATTCATATGCAAAGCTGATTTTAAAAATATTTTCAAACCTGCATTGTTTGTATCCATGTTGACATCTGCTAGCAGTCTTCTTCTTTGTTTTCTCTGGTATACGTTTCTTGACGGATAACTACCAACTGTTGCTCAGTGGAATAGCATGTATATCATTGACAGAAATGTGCTGTGTGAAGCTAATGCAGAAGTGTCTTAAACCAAGTCTACGAGACAGGACACTACATCTCACTTGATTTATTACCTCACTAAACATTTTCCCAATCAGTTTATGGTCTCAATCGCTAATTTCAAGTCTTCCGCACCATGAAGCTCATTTGTAAATTATGGTCCCATTTAGAGTAAAATAGACAACAAAGCAGGTCATGCCTTAGGATGTGGTTACCTTGTGATTGACTAGTTGCTACCATAGTGGTATCTGTAGGTTCTTAGACAGATCCACCTCTCGCTCCTCCACAACTCTACCCTATCATCCAAATGGGCTCATTTTTAACTCAAAAGATGGTGACAAGGCTTCACAATGTGAGTCTTCAAACCAATGGGTGATGTCCAGGTAGCTATGTCCACTTCTTTTATACAGTCCGTGGATACAAACAAAACGTATACCCAGCTATGAAAACATTACCCCAGTGTATTGCTAGTGGCCAAAACTCCATAAATGAAGAAAAATGTGTTTGCTTAAAGCACTGTATACTGTAATGTAGATGGGCTACTCTGCGCATACCCTCTTCAACATGCCATAGTGATATACAGTAGCAAAGAGTTCTTCAATGTCTTTCAGGCCAAGGACCCCTCAGCTCACAAAGAGACAGAGCAGGGACCCTTACTACATATATGTCAAAAAATTGAGTCTCACTTGAGATAAATGGCTAAATATTTTTGGGTCTTCTCTCATTTGTTTTTGTAGCCGCTAAGTCAGCAGCAGATGTAGCATGGCTAGGGGTGTTAGCCTCACCCTCTGCACTTTTGCCAGTGGTTTCTAAGGTGCAGGTATGTCAGAGTCTCTTGCCCGAAAAAGTTACAAAACAAGCCAAATTATTGTGGCTCACAAGAATGTCCACACACTTGGAATAATAATAAGGCTAACTGACCAATATGTTTCAGTAGTACAAAACTGTTAGCTAACTAGTTTGCCTCGCTGTTATAGATAGGTGCCTCAGTGACAACAAACAAACAAACAAACAAACAAACAAACAAACAAAAAAGGCTCGTAGGGAGCCTTTTTTGTTTGTTTGTGATTTAGCATTACCTAGCTCACATGATTGCACAAGGATTCATTAGCCTACCATGAATGTTGTGTATACTGTAAATTAAATGGGGTTTATGAATAGGCCAATTTATCTTTGCTAACAATATGTTGGATTTGTGTTAATATGTATTTTCAGACATATTTTAATTAAAGAAATGAAAAAAAAAGAATGAAAACTTAAATTATCAAGCAGTAACTTGGTGACCTCCCTGCACTAACTCTGAGGATCCCATAGAGGTCCCAGACCCCCTCTTGAAGACCCAGGCAATAGCAAAAACATATTTGCGACCATGACTGTTTTAATGGTAGCCTGTGTTTAAAATATCCACATGAAGTTATCTGAAGCTCTTTTTACAAAAAAAGGGCAGAAATTTTTCACCTTGCATTATTTGCACAAACTTGACCAGTATACCATTATTCACCCCAAACAACCAATGCAGCTTACTGACTGTACCAACAGACGTTAGCTATAAGCTAGTTGGCAAACAATGCACCAACTACTGTACACACAGGCTGTCTATTTTTTCCTCTTGATGCTGTATGTTTAAGCAGATTCATAAAGTTCTGGGATATTTTCTGAATTTTTTATTTAAGCTGAATCAATGTCACATTGCGGGGACGCATCTTGGCCCGTGTTCGCATCACCCCAGGCAAATTAGCCTCTATTTTGCACCCACTTGAAACTTAAAATACACTCATAACATTTCTAAATTTTGCCTCGTCTTCTGTTTGAACACACTTGTGGTTCAGGTAACAAGAGTCCAGTTGTTTAGAAGACTTTCACATACACCTTTTAGAAAAAGGATAATTGATATCCAGAGTTTTGACAATATATTTAACAACGTGAGAAATAGCAGATAAAGAGGAGATATTAGATATTAATAGATAAAGAGTACTAGTAGATAAGGAGTACTATTAATAGGCCTGATGTTAGTTATTCATGTCTACAACTTCACCATTCAGTACAACAGATGGAAGCAACGCAACATATGAAGGGACCAAGACAGATTACTGCCGCATAAGGCCAAAATTAGCACTAGTATAAGAACTCTTTGCAAAGAGAACACTGAGAGAAAAGTTCAGATGAGAAAAAAAAAACTTCATTTCTATTTTACCTTTTTGTTTTTTGCATTTTCAATTTAATTTATGCGTATATAATGTCAGTGATGGCTGAATTCCATTATGCTGCATCAGTTTTTGGGTCCTAGTATTGTGCATGATGGCTCCCAAGGGACACTTGGATAAAAGAGACTGTCCCCCTCCAAAATACAACCACATAGTTTACCTTTACAAGCAGACCCATATTTATGCTTTTTGTAAGGCTGCAACCTCTTGTGGCCATTGTATTAATTACGGGAACAAAGTAGGAAACCATCTCACGTAATTTTGATGCAACTGTGGTCGTTTCACAGCGCTAAGAACGTGTGTGAAACTGTGACTGTTAATGGTCATCTATTAGGTGTTGTGTTGTGCAGCAGTAGGGGTGATAATTTAGGAAACGCTCCTGTGGGTCATATTCAGAGAGTAGTAACAAATGAACTATGTGGTCGTATTGGCTGGAGGACTTGTTAGAATAGAATAGAGCCATCATTAATGTCACAAGTGCATTTCCTACTATCAGTCCATCAAAATGTCTTTTGTTAAAAAAAGGCCTATTACATCTGTTGCGTGTGAGTGGTTATATATGCTGGTTGGTGGGTTGGTAGCAGAGCCTAATTCTATCCAACAGATATAAAGCAGATATAGGTATAATAAGAAAACAAAAAGATAATGTGTTTGTATTCATGTGCATATAACAAGATTTGAAGGAAGGATAAATATAGAGCGCTCTGGTGTATAAATATCTGTACTAGACAAACCAGGTATATGTCTTGATCATTTTTAAGTGCGTGTTTGATGGTGTAAAAAATGAGTCACTGAAGCCCCTTTGACCACAAATGAAAAGCCAAGAGACTAGAACCGGTGGAGAAGCAGGTTGAGGGCAGCAGCTATTCCGCAGACTGCGTTTGATGCTCCAGTGCCATTATGTTAATAGAAACTGGGGGTGTTAGGTCTCAGAGGAGCTTCCTGACACCAGCAAGCGCCTATTACCACCGTCTGTCTCTTTGACATTCTCTCTCTCCCGCTTCCTTCCTTGTACTGTATCTTATCGTTCTTGGGCTCTGACGCTCTCTGTCTTAACTTACATCAGATCGATTATCAGTTTGTTTGAAAGTAATCTGTCTTTCATTGTGAGATGCTTTGACTGGCTACTTGCTTTGGCTGAATTTTGTAAATGCAGGAGTTTAAAGGATAGTTTCATCTCATTCTGTCTCATTTATCCGGTCTCTCTCTCTACTTTCTTCTCTCACCACCACATTCATTATCTTTTTCCCCTCTCTCTCTATCCCCTCCCTCCATAGCCCATATCATTCACTGTTTTCATCATCCTCTTCCATCATTATTCCCACTCTTTCTCTAACCTCTCCCGACAAGCTCACCTAGTCTTTCTGCCTCCATTAGCATGTCTGTCTTCACTGCTTTATTGTTTTGAGACTCTTATTTTCACCATTCTTATCCTCTCTGTATCAACCTTTGGGCCTTGTTCATTGAAGTCTTCATCAAAGAGAAGTCAGAGGTGATTTTTCACACCAGCAGTGATCTGTTTATGTGCTCTGTTTGTGCGTGTCTGCAGGACAGCATGCGTGACTGAAGGAGCCAGATAGAGATTACGAAAAGAAAAAGAAAATGGACATTTTGGCGGGAAATCTGCAGGCTGAATTTGATGTTTCTCGCTTAACACTTCTCTGATTTCTTCCTCTGAGAGATTTTCCTTTTAAATGTAACATCCAGAAGATGACAGCAGCAATACAGTGCAAATACTGTAAAATGTCGCTACCTTGAAGTATTGGGCTGTAAAATCACATTGAGCGGACAGAGGGTGGAGAAAATCAGGAATCCTGATTCGCATCACGTCCTGGGTCGCTGCTCTCATAGCGGGCTGTCTGTGTCTAGTGCCTGATTAAACACAGAGAGCTGAGATTGGCTCTCCCTGCTTCTGTGCTGGACGGAGGGCAACACACACTGATGTAGCAAATACATACAGTACATGCATGCAGTGACACACTTACAGTAAACTGGCTTTTTCACAGTTTGTTCTTTGATTTTGATCTCTGTAAATGAAATAACGCTCACCAATCTAAATCATCTGTAAAGAGCTGACAGGGCTGCCTTTACCGCCTCTTTCGGTCTACTGAAATCAGTACAGTACATATACAGCGTGGACAGCATATTCCATAATACTGTGAAGCAGAGAGGATATTGTTGATTACTGAGAGACACTGAACACGAGCAGAAGCAGCCAATAAAGGATTAATCTCTAAAAACAGATATCTGCATATGTATGCAGAATCTGTAGGCAACAGGAAAAGATTTGTTATCGGAAGCATTTTGGTTTCCATCTGTAGTTTGTTTGTTGTCTAAGTAGTATTGACCAGTTATATTTGAGCGCCAGGTAAACAGTCTGTGTGGAGAGGCGGAGCACATTGGTTGAAATTTAATCTTGCAACCGATCGGCCATCATCTGATGACGATTTAACTTTATATTAAAATCTGCTTTCTTATGTAGATTCTTATCTGTTTATTGAGATCAGCCGAAAAGAGCAGCGCACAGAAGTAGAAGTCTTGGCCCGGATATCTGCTGAATACACTGGATATCGGCCGTTGCCCTTAGAGGCTTATTGGCGTCAGATGATACATGATGACTTCCGAGACTGATGGGACATGTATGAAATGAAATCCAAAACCACAAACTACAGTGTAGCCATCTTTTCAAAACAGTGCTCTCACTTAGAACAGCTTGTTCTTATTCTGCCTCCATCTAATTCAAGTAAATGGGAGTATAAAGGGTGCAAGGGATTAACAACTTATTAGCTGGCCAGCAATCAAGAGCTCAAACTACAAGCAAGTGTGTGTGTGTGTGTGTGTGTGTGTGTGTGTGTGTATGTGTGTGTGTGTGTGTGTGTGTGTCATAGAGAGAGAAATAGAATCAGAATGCTTCTTACTGTTATTGTATCATTAAAAACCACGGGAGTGGACTAAGACTGTCTGAAATCACTTCCTGTTTACTATATAGCCCACACTATTTACCCTGACCCATACATTAGTGTCTAAATGCTGAGTGTGAAGTGTATGCACTGTAATGCCCTCATAGGGAAAGTTGCCATTGTGCAACTCTACAGCCGTCCATGATGTTATGACCATAGTAAACCATTGATTATCTACTATGCAGGGGCATTTTAACTGACTTAGAGTAGGAATAGCACAGGTGTGACTAATAAAATTACATCCAGTAGGCTATGACAGTGTGACGTTGAGCCAGCATGAACAATACCTGGCGCAGCTAAAATGCATTTAGCTGCTTCAGTTATTGTTCTTATTTACACCTGTGCCTTTCCCACTCAGACTTGTCAAAATATTGTCTGAGAAAAAGGCTTATTTCACTTTTGATGTTCCTTCACACCCACACTCAATCAGTTGGTGCCTGGATCTACACTGGAATTACACAAATTCACCAAGATCCATTAACCAATAGGAATAAAAAGGTGTAAAAAATTAGATGTCAGTTAAGCACAGTCTTTACCGGCCCACACAGTCCTTACAAAGAGTCTAATCAGGCAAATTAAGTGAAAGCACCTGTGTGGGTGGACCATGAGTATGTAGTGCCTTGAATAAACATATACTATTATTAGGTCTGATGTTAGTAATTCATGTCTGCAATTTCACCATTCAGTCCAACAGATGGATGCAATGCAACATATGAAGGGGTAAAGACAGATTACTGATGCATTAGACCAAAATTAGCACTTGTATATGAACTCTTTGCAAAGAAGGCATTGAAAGAAAAGTTCAGATAAGAAAACAACCCTTAACTTCTATTTTACCTTTTTGTTTTCTTATTTTCAATTTCATATATGGCATGTAAATTCAGTGATGGCTGAATTCCATTATGCTGCATTAGTTTTTGGGTCCCAGTATTGTGCATGATAGCTCACATCATGATGCGAAGGCTTATAGGCACACAGAGCCATCATTAATGTCACAAGTGATGCTTGTGCATTTCCTTCTATCAGTCCATAAAAATGTCTGTCGTTAAAAAAGGCCTATTACATTTGTTTGTGTGAGTGGAGCCCCACACTAATAATTTCTATATATGCTGATTGGTGGGTTGGTNTATATATGCTGGTTGGTGGGTTGGTAGCAGAGCCTAATTTTATCCAAGTACATTATAAATAGCCCTGACTAAATGTCTGGAGAAGAAAGGTAAAGTCTGATTTTTCTCTCATGTGTCTCTTATTGTCCCAGTTGCTCATTTCTTTTTCTCTCCAACTTGTCTCTGTCTCTCTCCCCCCTGTTGGCCCAATTAAAGCTGATAGAGAGACACTCTGGGGTCAAGTGTTGGTTTTTGCTGAGTCTGTTTGAGACTTAAGTTGAAAACACCAGACCCTCACATCACTTAGAGGCATGCATCTGAATGACCTTGGGTTGATGCACCAAGACAAGCCTGTATATTTATTATTAATGGCTGAGCTGACAAAAGCTTTGTGGGTCATTCTGTCTGACTGAGATGTTTGTGGCTTTTTAGTGTTTGTTTTACAGATACTGTGTGTAGCTTTTTCTCAATTTGTTTGTATGCTGTATCTCTAAACACACATGGTTTAACACAACCCACAGTATTATATGAATAATCTACTATTCTATCTTTTTTCTGTAGGATGACTTCCTCTACAGTGTGTCTATAGTGAGCGGGCTCACATGTGCTGTGCTGGCTGTAGCCAAGTTCATGCTGGGAAGAGTGCTGACTAGCCGGGCACTCATCACTGATGGTAGTGTACACACACACACACACACACACACACACACACACACACACACGCTTAAATTTCAATGTTTTAACATGACACAGGAAGCTGTTGTAACTTGACTTTATGTCGTCCCATCTGGCCTAAATTTCACGTGGTGGATAAGAGTCCAGGCCTGATGACATCTACATGCTCTTATTAACTCAGAGTCATAGCGCCACCTACTGACAAGTGGAAGTCAGTCTTATAGTATGTGATGAAGATCATCTGATTGACATGAAATTTACGTGATGCGGTCTAGCGACATGATGTAAAATGACTGTGTGTTTTCTAACGCCACACACACTTAAACACTCACACACACACACAAGCACACACACATAGTTGAATATAAATAAATGAATAGCACACTAATATAAGAGATCTTAACGTAGCTCACAAATGGCTACAGAAAGGCAATAGGAAACAGTATTTTACTCTCTTAATGACCGGCAAAATGATCTTGTGTTTATCATTAGTCAATTCTTTGGCCTCTTAATGTTGATGATCAGTGTCTGTGTCTCTCCTGTAGTTCAACCTAAATTGTTACAAAACTGACTGTCATGTAAAAAACATGTTGGTTTCAGGGAGACCAACAAAAAATGATTTCTGCTGAAGAAAATAAGTTTGAAAGTAGGTAGATGGTAATAAGTGGTAGATTTATTCAGATCCCTAGAAGTAGAACAGTACATCAGTAATATCAGCAATATCAAAGCTAGAAATACTCTTATGCACCAAAATGCCCTCTGTCAGAGTTTTATTACTATATATTGTTATTGAGTTATTTTTACTGTGCATTTACTTGCCAGAGTCATTTCAGTGTTTTAGCTGGTCCAAATGGAGCTCATGTTATTATTTTATATGCTGTTGGGTAGTTTGATTCACCGTATAACATTGCATCACATCCATATGCTCATCATAGGCCTTCAAAGTCTTAATCTGTGAAGTAACTGATCCAACGCATAAAAATCAAGGCCTCAAAACAGTGTGTGTGTATGAATCTTTCTGTGTGAGAGAAAGTTGCTCTCACAACTGAATTGAAAGGACTAATAGGTTATGACCCATTGGCTGCTCATAGACACATGCGCACAAGAACAAAAGCACAGAAAACACACACACACACACACACACACACAAACACACACTGCACACTGCTATCCCCAGGTCTCAGAACGCATAGGGCATCAATCCAATAAACCTGAGGTTGCTGTTCTCAGAGACCGGATTTATTTCCCACAAGACTATACACTTACTGCAGGCGAGACAATAACCCACTGCGCTGGAATTCATACAAGGAGAAATGTAATTATTAAAAAACAAAAACAACAAAAAAAAAACTTGGTGACTCAAATACTTTATTTGATTAGATGTATTCAACAATTACAAAGCATTTATATCCATCTATATTTGAGAGTTTCAAAAAACACTAGTGAATGTTCCCTTCCTGACACCATTGTGGTCTGAAAAGGGATCCCACATTGTGGGAAGTACGCTTATTTGCTTTCTTGCCAAAAGTTCCATGAGAGAACTGATACCACTCTCATGTCTGTAGAGTAAATATGAACCGAAACAGCCAGAAGTTGGAGAGCTTAGCTTGGCATAAAGACAGATAGGCAGGGAAACAGGTAGGCTCTGTACAAAAAATCCACCTAGGTCCTTTAAAGCTGGATGCCTGGCAACTGCATGGTGACGATAGAACTCCAGGATTCACTGGGCCTGGCCAAAAAAAATAAAGTCCAGGACCAACCCGTTCTCACTTCTAACTTGTCACTACTGGCACTTGGTCAGCGGTCCTCGACATCTTATACCACGCACTGAGGGACCCTTTAGTGTCTGCATGAGGAACAAGAAGGTCCGTGTAGGGATGATGTCAGAGTGGATGGGCAGGTCAAACACAGGACTTTTACTCAGCAGACTGCTGTTCATGTCTCCTTTGAAACCAAACTAGGCACTGAGTTTATTAAACTGCATCATACAGTAGGTAGCATTATGTTAGTGCTTGTTGTTACTGAATGTAAGAACACACTTACTTATTTCACTTCAAACCCTGATTGTTTTTCTGAACCAAACCAAGTACTTTTGTTAACTCAACTAAGTAAACCTAAAAACAGGGTAAACCTGCATTAGAGTTTGAAAAGAGACTGGATGGATGTAACAAGTAGAAACTGTGCATTTCCAGTGAACATGGAAGTTTCTGAAAAAGTAACAAGGGGAAACTGACACACCATCACTGACCGTCACTGACCATCCAAAACAGACACTAGAGGGGTGCCTAGGGCGCCATAGTCTGCTGTGCAGAGCTAAAAAAACGTAAGTATTTGAGGATTTTGTTTTAAACAGAGTCAGGCTAGCTGTTTTCCCCTATTTCCAGTCTTCATCATATAAGATAAGCCTACAGGCTATTGGCTGTATCTTCACATTTACTGCACAGACACAACAGTGGCATAAATATTTTTATCTGCCTCTCAGCAAAAGAGTAAATGAATGAATCAACTAAAATGTCAGACTATCCCTTTGACACCAAAAGACCTAACAGATCAGATAAACAGATTACTATGTTCAAATGTGTGTACCACATTGGGTGCGGTTACATGATGGCTTCTCATTCCAAATTAAATAAATCTGAATGAAATCATTCGGAATTAAAGTCTTTCCAGGTAGTTTACATGGGAAATATTCATTCCGAATGAGGGTTTACACGGGAGATCAGTTTAATCGCCTTTTAATTGCCTTTATTTGGGTCCGCACAAGGTTTGGGGCAGGGAAGGTTTCTGATTGGATAGGGGGTGGGGCGGATGTTACGTGTTTACGTTTGCCGGAAGAAAACACTGTAGCCCTCGTTTTGGATAACAAGATGCTTAACGACACCATTCTCAGTGCCATTTTTGGGCTTGTTTTGCTTATATTCTTGAAGCAGCAGTACAACAACAACCTTGTACTGCTAATGCTTCAGAGAAGGGAGGTAGAAGGTCGGAGAAGGAAGATAGAAGACCGTGCTGTGACGAATGGAAACCAGTTAGTGCAACGAGTCCGACTGCTCTATCTCAGCCCGTTGCTATGCGCGCTATATACGTCATCGCGCCAGAAGGGCAAGGAAACGAGCATGCGCAGAAAGACCGGAATGAACTTAAAGAGGAATGAGTGTATACAAGTGCGAGAAATTCTTTCAGTCAGAATTAGAAACGGAATATTCCAGCCCCTTACGTCGGATTGAATTTTCAATCGCATTGGCCATTTTCATTACGATTTAGGTGTTTACAAGATCACTTTTAATAGGGATGAACTTTCATTCCGAATTCAAAGGGAATTAAACTGTCCATGTAAACGCACTCATTGATAATAACTGCATATAACTCAGGACTGATAAAGCGTATTTAAGTCTGGGCATCTGAAATTACCACGTTACTCAGACACAGAATGCATAAAAAGACATGACATTGTCCCCATGTTTGTGTTTTTCAGGGTTTAACTCTCTGGTCGGTTCAATCATGGGATTTTCCATCTTGATCAGTGCCGAAGTCTTCAAGCACCATGCTGACGTCTGGTTTCTGGATGGCACCATTGGAGTTCTCATTGGACTCATCATTTTGGCATATGGTGTCAAGTAAGATAGAAAACCACCAGTCTTCATTTCTTTGACCTACTGATTTCAGATCATTTCTATTAGGTTGATCCAAATTCCAGTAATGCCACATTCACATGTCAACTCAACAGCTCTGTACTGTCTGGTGTTTGAAGTGCCAAAACAGGCTGAAACACCTTGCAGAAGTTATTTGTGCACATTTACATACTTACCAATGAGAGCTTGTTTCCGTGTCCACAGACTCCTGAAGGACATGGTGCCCCGTGTGAGACAGACGAGGAACTACGAACGCTTTGAGTGAGAGTGTGTGTCAACCAGACGAGCAGGTTCAAACACACACGTCCACACACCTGGCTGCCTCCTGCCCTCCACCATCTTCTCTCTGTCTTTCATACACACCTCAATACACATTTCGCCTGCATATGCAGCACATACATGTTCTCATACACATGAATATACACACGTGCTGTATATACTGTACATAGTACATTCATACATTCAGACAAACACACATGCATGCACACACAACTGAGAGACTTTGAGGGAAAAGGACATGATTGAGGACCACATCCTGGAGAGGAAACACTTCAAGTAAAATCCTTCTTTTTCCCCGCTTTTCTTCACTTTTTGTTCATGAAACCATGGGTTTAAATGTTACACCTAGAATAAGGAAAAGGCCCAAGAGCTGAGACTCCTGTTTGCCAGCAGGGGCCTTGGATTTGTTTGACTGGGAGATAGTTGCTGCTTAAATGGCACCATTCACATCATCACAGTTTTCACCTGCAGGAAACTAAAGCATATTGATTTGTCCTTGTGGTTCAGCTATTGTCATGGTGGGCATATTGGGTCAAAATTGAAATGTTTCAAATTGTGTAGAGTTTTCTTAAATGAGGTGTAAACACATACAAAACACAGTATGTTTCCCCATGTAATTTACTTGCGTAAACATGTAATTAGCTTTTTAAGAACCACTTTGTATCCCTGTTGTATCTTAGTTAAGAATACAATCTCCAAGTTAAGCTGAGGACTGCTCAGTAATTGTATTATTATTCTAGTTATTGTTCAGTACAGATATTCCTTTCCTAAATCAGACAGAGAGTTCCTGTCCAAACCTCACCAGCCTCCTCCCAAAGCAGACACTATCCATTCTAATTTGTTGCTGAGAAAGGAAGAGAGGACCTGGATAGCAGAGGAAAGAGGACTTAGACAGAGAGCATATGAGCCATACTGAGTCAGCAAATGCTGCTTTGTCCAAAAGGTGAAAAGCATCAGTGAACAGTCAGGTGAGGTCAGCCTTGATCTAGAAACTCTACAACTAAAAGCAGAGCACAGGAGACACTAAGGACAAACATTTGCCATACAGGGGCCGTAAGCCTAAAGTGCACAAGTTATTTATTTACATTGCATAGCCTTCTGAAATGTATGTAATGTATCCAAGCACAAATTAGCCAACTCTCCTTCATACGCAGGTGTTTGTTGCTGACAGTTTAGCACAATGGGTAATTACAAACTAAGAAATTATTTGAGGGCCTGTTTTGTCTTAACTGCTGTATCTAATATGTTTCATTGCCATATACTGTACATATCTTTTGATTTGTTTACAGACACACATACCTGTCAGTTATTTACTGAAATACATTCAGTATCTTTTGTTTTTTACTTGAAATTTACTTTGACAAAGTTTTACCAACTAATAGCTTACAACTGGAAAATAGTAATAAAATTAAAGTATTTTTAAGGGTAAGATGGAAAAATTTCGTAATATGTTTTTGTTTTTGATAATTAGTAGATGTAAAAGCACTCAACTCTTCAGGAAAATCTCTGGTACTATTTACCTTAACTCTATTATTTATCATTTTCTCCTGAAATATTGTACTTAATCCACTTGAGATATATTATTTTATTCATGTTTGATTCTTTTTATTTACTTGTTTTGATTTCAAAGTTCACCTGAAAAGTTTGATAAGATGAAGTCTCAAACTCAAGATGAAACAAAGCACAATGACCAAGACAAAGCAGTCTGTGGGAATATAATTTTTAACTGCATGTCATTTGCAAAGACGGATAGTTTTCTCCCCTATGTCTGCATACCTGCTTATGACTCATTTGTTCTGCATGTCGCCATTGTTACCATCCATTATTATGTGCAATGGACAGAATGTAAATACAAACCACACAGTCTGTAAATATGTTTATTACACTGTTCAGGTGCATCAGTAACAAAAAGTCGCAGATATAGTCGTAGTACTTTATGGCCAACATTATAGGCTTTTTGGAGTAGACAGCATATAGTTAAAGTACAGGATGATCAATGTTGCATATAGTTAAACATGTTTACTCTATACTGCTTATACTGTAAATGTTGTTTTACATATTACTGTAGATTATTGGTGAAATGAAATAAGTCTTACTGTACATTTTTGCACTGTAAGTGAAAATCATAGACTAGATGTAGGTGGAATCTGACAGCGCTGTCCGAGGCTCCTTTATCATTTATTAAAAGCTGTCAAATCAATATTTTACACGCTGAAAATGACATTTGCAATTCTCCTGGTGGCACAAATCAGTATTATTTTTACTGAACTTAAGTGGGTATCATAAGCTCAGACGTAAAATCTCCCAAAAAGTTTTTAGCGAAACACTTAAGTGAATCATGTGTAATTAGTTAAATTGAGTAGTACCTTCCTCGTCATTCTCTCGGAAGAAGCAACAGAAACACCTTGAAATGAGCAGTTAGGTTAATGAATTCAGTTGTTAGATTGGTTTTCTACAAATCTATGGAGATTCAAAATGAAAACACATTAATATAAATCATTCATAGATGTGTTTTGCACAAACACAAACAGATAGTGAATGAGCTTACTACCCATGACCAAAAATACATTTTCACTATCTAAAGTGAGGTAAACTGTACACCAGGGATACTCAGCTTGCTCTGCCTGGGGGCCACTTTTGCAAAATGACAGGAGGCCAAGGGCCAAATAATAAACAAACATTAATGTTCATGAGTATATATAATAACTGATTTGCTTGTTTGAAACCTTTTGACGTAAGCTGTCCTCACTCATCATTGCCAAGAGGCAAATCCAGTTGAAGCAACACCCAAAGGTCAGATCTACACAAGAGTATTTCCAGGATTTGAGAACATCTGGGGCCAAGCCTGGACCTTTATTGAGGGGAATCTGGGGGATCTTCCCCTGGCAGATTGTTTTTGATGAACAAGCTCGTTGGTGCTTTTTATGCATGCTTTTTGACATCTTATTTACATTCAAAGTACAAAAAGTGTGAATCAATCAGTTTATTTCCATTGTGAATTAAAAATGGTCAGTGGGCCACCCCAGCTGGAAGTTGAGTGTCACTGCTGTACACTATACATGACTGTGGCCTGGTTTCTTCCTGTAAATGTGGATCCACGGTGCTTGTACGCCCCCCTGTGGTAGAAGGCCACATGACAAGAGCTGTAATTAGTATTCAGTGCACTGGATCCAAGGGAGAGTCTAAATTTATCCAAGACTGAAGACAGTAAGAAAGCCTCGGACTGTAATTCTGAGGGCACCTACATCCACTCTACACTGTAATTATCAGCTCTCAGTTGACATACTAGACAAGGTGCAAAATTCTTGGTATTATCGTTAGTTTCGTTGTGTGAAGAGTAAGGATTAGCTATAAACTGAAGGTGTGAATCAGCTCACACCACTTCAACTCACCAACAGCACACTGATTTGTAATGTTTCCCCTCTGATGCATAGAAGACAATCTTTACAATGACTTTTACTAGCAACGCACAGTGTTTACATGCTAATAACCACCACATAAGGCACAGAACAAACTCATAAGAACTCATAGTAACGGTATGCATTACTAGCTCATATTGTTAGCTATGCTGTGTTTGGATAAACTGGAGACCATTTTGATCTGGGCAACAAAATCCTTTCTACCTCTCTTCTTTGCACTTTGTTTTATTTCTATGCCACTTCTCTTGTGCACATTCATGCTACATGAAATTTAGGTCCGGGTGCTGTGATTGTGGCCCTGGCCCCCCTTTCACACCTTAGTAATGGGTGATCCTTGAAGCTGCTGCACTGGCTGTAAATCACTGAGTCAGTGCAACAGCTGAATACCAAAACTAAAAGTATAATGAATATAACCTTAATTCTATGATCACCAGAGACGAGGTTGCCTTTTATTCGTCTATCATGATTTCTTCAGTGCTCAATTAAATGTTTTAACCCTCACACTCAACTCTCACTTAAATACATATAGAGGTTTGTGAAGAAATTATCTCTGACCATGTATTTGCACAAACACAAAACCTCTATTCATTTGACAGATGGTATGATATTAGAAAACACTTCATTGTTCCATTGAGACAGCTCAGAAACGTCAGATTCTGCAGCTTGATGAACTGTGCCAAATCACTGAAACATCAGTCATCTCTTCTGACATGTGTATCATTAAATTATACTTGTATGGATGAATAGACTTATTATTATTATCACCCCAGAAGAGACATCAAACCATTCATCTGCCTTGATTTCATTAAATTATGATGGCAATACTAACCACTTCTCTGTTGCGATAGGCTTTGCATGGGTGCGTAAAAACCCTTACAGCTTCAGTGGTTACAAGTGCATTGCAGCCAAACATGCATGCACGCACACACACACACACAACCAAACATACAAAGATGTAACTGTATTTCCAATAAATCTGACTGTAACAGTTATTGTTTGTCTGTTTGTACAGTAATGACATCAGTGGTATTACAGACAATGTAAACACCATTTATTTATGTAAAAGAACTATGAGGTATCTCTTTGTCAAAGAGCAAAGTTTTATTGATTAATAAAGTTTTATCCTGCTTAATGTTGAGGCATGTTTTCTTTTTCCTTCTCAACCACACAACTGTTTTTTCTACAACTGAGATCACACATTTAATGGGCACAAGGATGTAATTTTAACAATTGCATAGTTTCTTTCATCGTGAACAATCAGCCGCTGTGTCTATATGGTAAACCTAAGTTAGAAAAAAATAAGTTCGAAAGATAATAAAATACAAAAAATGTACTACCACTCATGTCTGTACAAAAAATATGAAGCTACTGCCAGAAGCCAGCTAGATGAGCTTAGCTTAGCACAAAGACTGGAGGCTTGGATAACTTGTTAACTTCCTGCCCGTTTTCATTCCTAGGTCATTAAATACCAATGCTTTTTCATGCCCCTCTATGTGTGATATTGTTGCCAAAGGCATCCTTTAGTATCTTTAGGAGACGCACTGGGCTTTCAACTAACTCCAATATAAACCCATCTGCAGCAAAAGTCATACACAGCTGATGTAGTATAAAGAGCAAGAAAGTCTGCGTAGTGTGAGAGGGAGGGGAGGTGGATGGGTAAAAAAAAAAAACAGACTTTCACCCACGAGACCACAGTTTGTGTCCTGTGTAAAACCAAAACATAACATTATGCAAATTATTGTAACAAACCTACCCATTTCAACACAAAATGTGAACTTTTTTCTAAACCTTACCAAGTAGTTTTGTTGCCTAAAGCTACCTGCAACCTTTTCACAACATTTATCTCGTGCTACAATGTGATTTAGCTGTGGATCACATAGATACAGTAAAGGGTGCCTTGTGTGTCCCTATCAAATGCCAAGGGGCACAACAAAGCCTTGGTATTTGATGGCCTTAGCTGCAGTTTCACAGAGTCTCTGCTGGTTGTAGGGCAACCTCATGTTGATGACGAGACTCCAGGAAGTTACTGTGCCCAGCTAAAAAATAGTCAGCCACATAAATCCCCTGAAGAGGTGACGTTTTTACACTTTACTTTTCAAGCAAATTAACTATTTCTTTAACCTAGTATTGTTCATATGTAGTGTATAGTATTGTGGTCATGGGAACTCTTTTTGGTACTTATGTAATCATCGGTGGTTACAGCATGAATGATGCACTGGTAACATTTTTATGTGGAATGAAGCTGAGCAGTTTCCACCCTTAAAGTAGGCATGGTTTGACCCTGAATCAAAAAGGCTTTGGATTACAGTTACTGTGCCTGTTGTGGCATAAGCAAAAGACAAATCATGTTGCATCAAGTGTCACAGTCATTGTAAATGCCACATTAGGTATATAGAATACTTTTTCAGTATAATATGAAAATTCTGCAGTACAGACATTGGCTATGTGAATACCTGAATATAAGATTGTTATATATGTGTTTCAAGTGTTAAGACTAGTGTGAAGTCCTTGAAGAGCAACTCATTATTACTGACCCTGCAGAGTCTTGAAACCTTTCTCTACACATGCAGAATACTGTGTACATAACTGTGTAAACAGTTGAATAGCAGGCATTGCATGTTTTTGGCAGAGAATCATTCTTCATAGACTGTCAAAGCCTAGTACATTTTATAATGATAAAACATTTCTCAATTCAGTATGTTATCTCACCTGCCCTAATTCTATTTCACAGCTTTGCATCATCATTCCAGGCCTGCACTCTCACTGCTCTGGCAAGACAATGGGTACATCCCAAGTCCCTTAAATTTACTGCTAACCACCTAACCTAGCCACCTTACCTAACTGTTTAGTCCCTCCCACTTAGGAAAACATGCAAGGAGTCAGGAGTTAGGAGTTAGGAGTGAGGAGCGAGGATTGCTGATAAGAGACATGAGACGGCCTTACTCTGAAGCGTCACGTAAAGCGACGTCCTTTTCTGATGATGGCGACACAGCTGGATCTGCTGCATAACGGAGCCAGCATACATCCCAAGTCACATTATATATATCCACTGGATGGACAGACGTGCAATAGATGTTGTACAGAACAGATCAACATGATAAATTAACAGTAATCCGTATGACACAATGAGACAGAGAGAGAGAGAGAAAGGAGAGAGAGAGAGAGAGAGAGACAGAGCCAGAGAGAGATGCAGGACAGAAGGGAAATGACAGTAGCTTACAACAACATTAATGAAAGTAATAATATTAATTAATATTAATATTAAACATTATTCCACTCATATGACATGCAGGATAATTAATGATGGGCAAATGTGTTTGTGTGTGTGTGTGTGTGTGTGTGTGTGTGTGTGTGTGTGTGTTCATGTGGTTCTGGACATGAGCAGCTGCACATTTGACAGCCACACATCACCGACAGTCCGCTGAACAACGCAACAGGTTGTGAATGAAATAAACTTAATTACAACATGACAGCCTTGCACGAAATATCATTAACGTTACTCTTTGTAGTCAGGTAGGCATGTGAATTACAGCGTTTCATTGCAAAGAATGCATGCAACTGGTACACTTGCACTGTTTCTCCGCCATCTTGTTCAAATGAGCCAGTTGTAGATGGCGGGTATTTATACATCGGGGCCTCAAGCTGAAAAAGACTTCCTATTAGGAACCTCTTGTGTTACCTTACTCATCGCACCTATCCCTCCTAATGCCTAACGCTAACTCCTTACTGGCAGGAATAAGAGACATGAGACGGCCTTAAAGATGGCGGACCTCGAACGACTTCCGGTTCAAGTAAGGAGTTAGGAGTTAGCAGTATAAAATAAGAGACTTGGGACGTACCCAATGTAAATTGACATGCACTTGTATAGCACCTTTCGAGTCATCCGACCACTCAAAGTGCTTTTTACACTACGAGTCCTATTCACCCATCCACACACATTCATACACTGGTGGCCGAGGCTACCATACAAGGTGCCATCTGCTGCTGAGTTTTAACACACTCACACACCGATGGAACAGCCATCGGGAGCAATTAGGGGTTCATTATCTTGCTCAAGGACACTTCAACATGCAGACTGGAGGAGCCGGAGATCGAACCGCTGATCTTTCGATTGGTAGATTGGCTCATGCAAATTCTTGCTAAATAAATCTTCAATGTTCATGAAAAAAATGACAAAATTCTAGAGTCATGGTAGATGATGTGTGGCAAATTTCAGAATTTTATCTCAAAAACTGAATTTTTGGCAGCATTTTGAATTTTGCTTTAATGTGAACAATTGGACTCAATATAAAAATGGTAATTTTAAACATCAGTTTTTCACTTATGGAGCAAATCAATCATTGTTACAAACAAATTACCAACATCTCCATACTGTCTAGATGCAATATGTGTATTTTCAGATTTTTGTCTTAATAACTGAATTTTTTACAGTGGTTTCAAATCTGCCTTTCCATGCACGGATGGCTGCTTTCCTACACAATAGTGGATGGCTTACTCAATTTGTGAAGCCACTGTTGAGTTGCTACTTGCCAATTAGCTCAGAATGGTAGATGACCATCTTAGGTTCCAGAGGTTGTGGGTTTGAGCCTCAGCTGGTGCAGAATCCACATTGTAATGTAATCATTTTCTTGTGCTCCAGCTTATTGCTTAAAATTGCCTGAGCGTGACTGATCACTGTGCAGCATCTTCAAGTCTTTTTTCTGCTAGAAAATCTGCCTTCTTATGCTTGAAAATAAACCAAACTTTGCACAAAGGTCCAGTGTCAATACTTCTGTGTGAAACCATCTGAGGTTTCTCACTTTGCACATGGCTCAACTAGTTAAACATCAGTTTTTCAGTTTTTTTATGAAGCAAATCAATCATTGTTAAAATAAATTACCAACATCTCCATGCTGTCTAGATGCAATATGTGTATTTTCAGATTTTTGTTTCGATAACTGATTTTTTTTCAGTGGTTTGAAATCTGCTTTTCCATGCAAGGACGGCTGCTAAACCTGCACATCTGCCTTAGTCAGTTTGTGAAGCTACATATGAGTTGTCACTGACTAATTAGCTCAGTGAGATAGAAATTGATTCTTAGTCTCAGAGGTTGTGAGTTCAAGCATCAGCTGATGCAAAAGGCAGATTGTGTTGCTAAATTCCTAAATGTCTTCCAATTCTTCTGCTTGTTGCTCAGAATTGCCTAAAAATGCCCGGACCCGACCCATCGCCGCGCAGCAGCTATAATTATTATTATTTTTTGTCTGTGTACTGCTTTTCACATTGATAGGAGACTGTGAAACACCCATGACTGTTATCATCATTATCAGAAAGGCAGCTGCTTAATTCTTATGTGTGGATCAGGTAAAGCTCAGTCCTATTAGCTGGCAAATGAATGAGTCCCTAAAGGCTATGTAGACTAAATGAGGGCTAAAACATACTGTTTAATTAATGCTTCATCAGAGAAATGGTGATGAAGTAGAAAAACAGAAACATAGGGGAAAGTCCCTTGTCAGATGTGAGCTTGTAAATGCAATGCTGGTTTTCAGGCAACTATCAAATGACTGCAAATAAGTTGTCTGTAAAAGGTTACATTATATACCAACAATGACGGGTGTAACAAGCCACATTGGCTGTATACTTCAACAATGCATGTACAATGCAAGGAGATTGTCACGCTCAATAGTAGAAAGTTACAAAATGCCAAGGGATTTTAAGAATGACAAAAAAGGAAACACAATAGACCATTAAAATAATCCCCAACACGTGTCTGTCAATGCCACACCCCACCCCACTGTGGAAAACAATAAATAAATAAATAAATACTAACCCAACTGTTGATAAATCCATTGTAAAACTGTTCAGTCATAAAAATGTACATACATTCGTGTTATATACCAAAAGTCCAGGCACGTGGTCTTGTCAGATATTAGGCAATTAAGTCTCATAGATCCTAATCTGGTGATTTTAAAGAAAAGTTCAGGACATTGGGTGCCACCTCCTAGTATGAGAGGCTGTTTACATGTACACTGTGATTTACATCTTCCTTCGTTTGTGCCCTTCGTTTACACGCAAACGGAGATTTCTCCTCTGAAAATGAGTCTTCATAAAAACTCCGACCAGAGTGGAGATTTTGGAAAACTCCGGTTGCGCGTTTGCATGTAAACTGAGATAAACAGAGATAAACGGAGTTATAGGCAGCCGACGTCACAGTATGCGCCAGAACTTGCCCCTGTGTCAAAAGTGCAACCTATGTTGCTATGGTGACAATGGATACATGGAAGGCTTGAGCTTCTCGTTACACTGCCACCTACAGGTTTGGCATGCTCTTGTGTATATATACACGGGTAAGTGTAAACGAAGATCTTTTTGAAAACGGAGATGGTGAAATGTCCGTTTATGAAAATAGACAGCCACGTGTAAACGGTCTCTGAGTCTGTTGACCCTTTTCAGGGTGAACTTAATGAACATGGGTGAGCATGGTGTCACTGAGCCACGTGGAGTGTAGAGGTGGAGTGGGAGATTTACAGGATAAAGGTATCTTTCTTCAGGAAAGAGATCATGTCAGACACTGCAGTGTTACAGGGGAGTGGCACTCTACAAAATTCATGGCAGACCCTCAATTCAAACGTTTATCCCCCCGAAATATAAGGATGGGAACATCAGCCAAAGTCTATGAGGGAATGAGTCAGGACATTCAGATAAAATCATCATAAATATGTTTACTGGGTTTTTGTTAACCTGTATGTACATAGGGTTTTGTTTTCTATCCAGCTGCTAGACACATGCCTTGCATAAGGCTATCTGGTCCTTGATGTAGTCTCTACAGGGGCAGATGCGAATCAAAGACTGGTCTGATCTCACACAGCTGAAGAGCAGGGGGTCAGACTGGAACAGACAGTGCTTACTGATGCTGTTGTAGGCTGGGAACACCAAGTGACTGTCAGAAAACTCTGATGTTTGACAGTCTACACTGTAGCTGGAGAAAAACAAACAGGAGGAGAAATCATTAGCATCATCAATCATTGTAAATCAAATAGTGATGGAGGATGGAGTCATCTTCAGCAAGCTACAACATTTAAATTCTTATATTCACATATCAGGTATATGTGGCTGGATTAAGTGACCCCAGCGAAGGGGACCTGTGCAAAACTCCAGAGGAGAATCTACATGAAAGGCTCATATTAAAAGCGCTGGGCTAAGTTTTTAAGCTGTTTTGTTCCTTTTTTTTGTCAGCTTATGAGCTAACTCTGACACCTGCTAAAATTGGCAAAATTGGCTCAGTGTAATTAAGCGGTGGTGAAAAGGCTTCCTGCGAAGGCTCTGACAGCTTAGATATATTTAATAGTAATTTGAACTTGCATACAATATTTGTGTGTCCCACATAAAAAAGACTGTAAAGTAGTCCAAATTGTATGTGTTGGCTGACATCAAAAAGTGCCAACTAATTATGAGCTTAAAAAAAACTGCTGAAAATATTAAAGTAAATGTCTGCCTGTTTTTAATTTGTAGTTGTTGGCTAGAAAAAAAGCAGACAGCTCTCCAAAGACAAATGCCTATGCATGACATGGTGATGTTTTTTTTACAGCTGAATTGCCTTAATGAAAAAATGATGGGAAAAAAATGAACAGAGCTAGAGGTATGATGAGTGTATATGTATACATATACAGTACAGGCCAAAAGTTTGGACACACCTTCTCATTCAATGCGTTTTCTTTATTTTCATGACTATTTACATTGTAGATTCTCACTGAAGGCATCAAAACTATGAATGAACACATGTGGAGTTATGTACTTAACAAAAAAAGGTGAAATAACTGAAAACATGTTTTATATTCTAGTTTCTTCAAAATAGACACCCTTTGCTCTGATTACTGCTTTGCACACTCTTGGCATTCTCTCCATGAGCTTCAAGAGGTAGTCACCTGAAATGGTTTTCCAACAGTCTTGAAGGAATTCCCAGAGGTGTTTAGCACTTGTTGGCCCCTTTGCCTTCACTCTGCGGTCCAGCTCACCCCAAACCATCTCGATTGGGTTCAGGTCCGGTGACTATGGAGGCCAGGTCATCTGCCGCAGCACTCCATCACTCTCCTTCTTGGTCAAATAGCCCTTACACAGCCTGGAGGTGTGTTTGGGGTCATTGTCCTGTTGAAAAATAAATGATCGTCCAACTAAACGCAAACCGGATGGGATGGCATGTCGCTGCAGGATGCTGTGGTAGCCATGCTGGTTCAGTGTGCCTTCAATTTTGAATAAATCCCCAACAGTGTCACCAGCAAAACACCCCCACACCATCACACCTCCTCCTCCATGCTTCACAGTGGGAACCAGGCATGTGGAATCCATCCGTTCACCTTTTCTGCGTCTCACAAAGACACGGCGGTTGGAACCAAAGATCTCAAATTTGGACTCATCAGACCAAAGCACAGATTTCCACTGGTCTAATGTCCATTCCTTGTGTTTCTTGGCCCAAACAAATATCTTCTGCTTGTTGCCTCTCCTTAGCAGTGGTTTCCTAGCAGCTATTTGACCATGAAGGCCTGATTCGTGCAGTCTCCTCTTAACAGTTGTTCTAGAGATGGGTCTGCTGCTAGAACTCTGTGTGACATTCATCTGGTCTCTGATCTGAGCTGCTGTTAACTTGAGATTTCTGAGGCTGGTGACGGATGAACTTATCCTCAGAAGCAGAGGTGACTCTTGGTCTTCCTTTCCTGGGTCGGTCCTCATGTGTGCCAGTTTCGTTGTAGCGCTTGATGGTTTTTGCGACTCCACTTGGGGACACATTTAAAGTTTTTGCAATTTTCCGGACTGACTGACCTTCATTTCTTAAAGTAATGATGGCCACTCGTTTTTCTTTAGTTAGCTGATTGGTTCTTGCCATAATATGAATTTTAACAGTTGTCCAATAGGGCTGTCGGCTGTGTATTAACCTGACTTCTGCACAACACAACTGATGGTCCCAACCCCAATGATAAAGCAAGAAATTCCACTAATTAACCCTGATAAGGCACACCTGTGAAGTGGAAACCATTTCAGGTGACTACCTCTTGAAGCTCATGGAGAGAATGCCAAGAGTGTGCAAAGCAGTAATCAGAGCAAAGGGTGGCTATTTTGAAGAAACTAGAATATAAAACATGTTTTCAGTTATTTCACCTTTTTTTGTTAAGTACATAACTCCACGTGTTCATTCATAGTTTTGATGCCTTCAGTGAGAATCTACAATGTAAATAGTCATGAAAATAAAGAAAACGCATTGAATGAGAAGGTGTGTCCAAACTTTTGGCCTGTACTGTATGTATAGGTGATACCCCCCCAATTAGAGCATCTCCTCACACTGCATACAACACATTTCAAGCCATATTTCATAAACAAAGACACAAAAAAATAAAGTAGGACTTGTGTCACTGGATTCTATACACACCGACATGTGTACTTACTTTGCAAGATTCTCAGCATTGTTAAGGTATGGAAAAAATGCAGGTTCACAGATCAGCCCTGCCTTCTGGCATTCCTGTTTGCAGGATTTGTTCGCTTCCGCCTTCACAACCTGGAGTGCGCTCAGTGGAAGCCAGCTCCCTGTACTATTGCAGAAGTCCTGAGGTAAAGATGAGAACAAGATGAGAAGAGAAGAAAATAAAAAAACATAATAATAAATATAATAATAATAATAAAATAATGAACATATCGCCGCTAGTACGATCCTGGGGTTAAAATTTGAAAGCTGCATAGAATCAAGACCTTTGACAGTTTATGACAACTGCATTAAAAATAACCAACACGTTTTATGCTGATCAGACAGATTCTCATTTATTATAGGCACTGTATGTAAAAATGTGGCCAAAACGGTTACTGCCCACCCCTACAGATTCGAGGTTGCTGGACAGCGGCACGCTGGAGACTGATTTGTTTGACCACGGCCGGCTGCAGTGGCAGGGCCGCGTCGCTGCGTCCTTGATCGTCAGTTTTCCAGCAGACCGTTCGAGCAAGACCGGCTTCTCTGCTGCTAACGCTGCTGCCAGGATACAGCGGAGGAGGAGCCGGTTGCTAATGTTATGAACCGGGACACTGCTAATGCTGCTGCCGGGATACAGCTGAGGAGCCGGCTGCTAATGCTATGTACAAGGACACTGCTAACGCTGCTGCCAGGATACAGTGGAGGAGGAGCCGGCTGCTAATGCTATGTACCGGGACACTGCTAACGCTGCTGCCGGGATAAAGCGGAGTAGAAGCCGGCTGCTAATGCTATGTACCGGGACATAGCTAACGCTGCTGCCGGGATACAGCGGAGGAGGAGCCGGCTGCTAATGCTATGTACCGGGACATAGCTAACGCTGCTGCCGGGATACAGCGGAGTAGAAGCCGGCTGCTAATGCTATGTACCGGGACACTGCTAACGCTGCTGCCGGGATACAGCGGAGTAGAAGCCGGCTGCTAATGCTATGTACCAGGACATAGCTAACCCTGCTGCCGGGATACAGCGGAGGAGGAGCCGGCTGCTAATGCTATGTATCGGGACACAGCTAACACTGCTGCCGGGATACAGCGGAGGAGGAGCCGGCTGCTAATGCTATGTACCGGGACATAGCTAACGCTGCTGCCGGGATACAGCAGAGGAGGAGCCGGCTGCTAATGCTATGTATTGGTACACAGCTAACACTGCTGCCGGGATACAGCGGAGGAGGAGCCGGCTGCTAATGCTATGTACTGGGACACTGCTAATGCTGCTTGCCGTGCTGCTGTAGCTCAGTCGTAACTGTAACTGATGCTGAGACTCTACTGACTGCGTGACTGGTGGACGGCGGTGGGTGGCACAACAGGCCAAAACAGAAATTCAAAACATAAACATGATTTGCAGACTGCAAAAAAATTTTTTAGATGCAAATATTCTGGCTGTACTATTGTTGTCGGTGAGATCAGTATGTTATATGAACATTATTCCTTAGTCTCTGTGACATATTAGGATGATTGTACGACAATTTGCTTTAGATTTTTTACATATAGCTCCTTTAATGGCCAAATTTTGTGCTGGGCCATGCTCTTCTTTGGCAGCATGGTCACTTTCTATTGGTCAGATGCAGTAAGCTTTTGGGGACATACTTCAGTGGCTTAGTTCAAAATATCTACCGAGTTTGTAAATGTTTGTACATGTGAAAGGCCAATGCAGTTGTTTGCAACTGGTGGCACCCCCTGTTAAGCAATTTCAAAATAATTTTACACACATGATTTAACATTCAACATATCCTGCAAGTTTTGGAAGGATTAGACAAACAGTTTCTGATTTATATTCTGATTTGCGTTATGCCTCGCCTGTGCCTGCATTTGCTTTGAGTGGTTGATTGGAATGAAACTTTCAGTTCATGTTAAAGGTACTGATGTAGACATATCAACGTTTTGTGACAATTGGCCTAGTGGTTATGGAGGTAGGTCTGTTTGTGTGCTGAACCACACCAGTTTTAAAGTTCATTCATCAATATCCTCAAAATGCAGTGAGATATCAACAAGTGTTTGATAAGTTTGTTCCAATGATGATCCATAGTAAATGTGGTACGATTCAAACCTACAGTTTTGGCACTCCCGAAGAGAAAATTTGAATGTTGTGTTGAATGTTCCGACATGTTCAGATCACAAGTCTTGTGATGATTGGCTAAATGGTTATGGATTTAGGTCTATTTATGTGCTGAGCCACAACCCCTCTTAAGTTTTTTGGTCAATATATTAATATAAAGTTGGTTGAATAATGATCCACAGAAAGTTTGGTTCGTATTGGACCATTGGTTTAGGAGGAGGTGTAGCGCCCCCATGTGGCCAATTGGCATCATGTTTCTTGAGCAACATTTGCACACAACTTCCAATAACTGGTGAAAATTGTATGTGTCTATAATGTATCATCTCACAGGAATTTGCAAAAACATTTCTGAAGAAGAAGAAAAAAAAGGCAACGCAAAAACACTTCCACTTGAACACCTAATCTCTGATCCCTTTTCCATCTGAAAACCAACATTTCTCCAACCTGCTTCTCAATCAGGATGTTGACCCTCTGGAGCATCCCTTCACAGGAAAACTCATAGGGAAGGTAGGGCTCAATCTGAAATGTATATGCAAAACCCATAATTACTGATATGTCACGGGCAAATTGCAGCTCTGTATTCATCATGCTGAGCTTCCTCTGTATTTACACTTTGCTCTTTGGGAAAGACTGGCACAAAATCTGGCACTATATTTAGCGGGTACTTACAGTTTGATTAAGGATGGCAGTGAGAGCTCTCTCCACATCTGTGGAGTTGTGCATATCTACCATCCAAACATAAGGCTCTCCTATGGCTTCTGCATACGGATGCTGGGATGTCACCTGCACATCAACAGTGAAAATGATTAAATTAATTTAATCTTTTTTTTCCTTTTTTTGAGGAAAAGACAGTAGATTGATTTTTACGTTGGATCAACTTGCTCATTTGTTTGAGGTTTAAGTGTTTATCAGCTCATGGTAAGTGTCTCAGATTTGCCCCCTGACCTCTCTTATGTTGGGCTTTCCCTTGAAGAACTCTGTGTTCAGGCTACTCTGTGGCGGGTGTAACCTGGGGTTCAGGAAAGCACAGCCATTGGCTAAGGCCTCCAATGGGGCGGGGCCTTCATATGGGAAAGACAATCCGACAAAAACCTACAACAGACCAAAGATAAAAAGAAGAAACAGTTTAGAATGTCCCAACCCTTGTAAGCAACACATGCAGAGGTAACCACGTGCACTACTGTACTGCCACCACATGATGCCAGCCAACACCAGGACAAGAAATGATGAGCTCAGTGAATAGGAAGAGTCTTAAACGGCTGCATGCATATTTTTCTTGTTTATATGAAACGCAGACAAAAAGAGTGTGATGCTGCTGGAGTAATGTTCCAAAGATAAACTACACAGGATTTTTCTAAAAAAAGAAAAACAATGTATACACTCATACAGAAGTAATCCCTCTCAATCATCACTTACAACCCACTAGAAGTGTGTGGCATTACTTCTATATGGAGTCTCACAGGCAAATAAATCCATCTGGATCACTTGTTTATCCCCATTTTTTGTCACCAATGCAACAGCTGCTCTTCCAGCACAGTAGCCAGAGTACAATGTTGGCACTGTAGGTTTCCACAAATCACTGATATTTTACATTTGTACATTTCATACATATGATATAGCTCAGATTACATGTATATGAGCTAAGTTTCTTGTGAGGAGAAGGATGTATTGTGTGACACCCAGGTGAGATGGCAGGAAAGCAGCAGAGGTAGGTGTTTTTGAAAGACAGACCAGGACATGTCCAGTAGTGTTTGTAGTAATCAAACTGGGAATTTGAAGCCAAAACATTATGTTTTCCTCGCCCTAACCAAGCGCTTTTTGTGGCTATACCTAATCACACATTAACCACAGCTTTGTAACGACATATAAAGAAACATAGAGATTTATATTTATATATGAAACATACAAAAGTAAACATATCCCTGGTTTGTAGGAACGTTCAATGCTAACATCTATTCAGGTGATTGGGCGGACCCTTCCTGTGGTCCTTAGGGAAAAACAGTGCACACAAATGCATTCACATATTGTGCATAATTACATACAAATGCATCTGCATACTGTGCATAATTACATACAAACACATCCACGTAAAACAAGATACAGTACTAATTAACTTTGTCATATGATAAATAGGTACTGCAGCATAAACACTGTAATCAAATGTCCACTAACTACATACACAACATACACCACTATGCTTTTTAACTAACATCTGTTTTTGTCATAAACTATACAAACTCTGTATAAGTCAGAAAAACCTTGAATCTATTACTCTTAGAAATCTCTTTGAAAGTAGTTTCATTCAGGGATTTTTTTCATAAAGAAGGATGAATGATTTTACTGAATGGCAACCCTTTACAAAACTGCTTTTTTCAAAGCGCTAGGTCTGTATTGCGAAAGAGTTACGTTATCTTCTGTCACTTGTCTACTTTTGTGATAGTGCTTATCCCTGGTAAAGGTCTATCTCCAGACGAAGGTTATTAAAAGACCGCAGGCCAGTCTCCCCTCCACTTTCAGTGAGGACAGAACGGCATGCATTTGACCTTCTGTCTAACTGAGAAGTTCAGGACATCCAATAATGCACATGTGCCACATACAATCATTTTACATCTTATCTCCTTTAAAGGTCCAGTGTGTAGGGTTTAAGGAGACAAATTGGCAAATATGGAATATAATAAAATAAGTTTTCTTTAGTGTATAATCACCTGAAAATATGAATCATGTTTTTGTTACCTCAGAATGAGCTGTTTAAATCTACATAGGGAGTGGACCCTTGTCTGCATAGATTAACATGTCACATCATCATGTTTCTACAGTAGTCCAGAATAGACAAACTACACGCTGGCTTCAGAGAGTGCCATTTGTGTTTTTGCAGACCTACTACAGTGAGTTTTTAACATGCACAGATTAGCAGGTGCTAGGCTAGCAGCCTGCCTGCAGTCCCGAACAGCAAAGGAGAAACACTGATTTGTAACATGGACTTGTGCAGAAAATTCAGCTCCCGGGAACCAACTCCTAACCAATGACCACTGAAGGAATTCTAACCTGGAGAAGTTTCAGCTGGTTGCAATCTTCACCACTAGATGCCACTATATCCCCTTAATTTTTACACACTGGACCTTTAACATTCCTGAAAATGGACATGAGTGACACATTTTGATAGCTCTGCCCATTTTGAAATCAACAAGACATTTTCTATGTAATGGTTATACCCAAGAGTTTAGTTGTTGTTTAGTTGTTGTTTTCGTTGTCGTCACTTCCATCAAATGAGGGAACGGTTGCCACTTTAAAGGGGAACTATGCCCATTTTCAAAATTCATATATGTTATTCCTACGTTCTTACACAGTCAAACAATATTAGTAAAAACTCTCTCTCCCAAATAGAAAAAAAAACCTAGAGAGCTAAAAGTGAAATTTATGATGTCATCAAGTATAAAGTGTGGAGCTGCTCCATAGACAATGAAAGGTAAAAGATGTTATAGATGACACTGAGAGCACTCAGGGGAGTGTTCGAAGTATATGGATACATTTTCTGTTTCACATCAGAAATTTTCCTACACCATGGAAATATCTTATTGGAATTCTTAATTATAGGTGGTGTTTACCTTTAATACTACATATTGGGGTTTTATAAGGTCATAGGAAAAGAAAAAAAATCACAAGTGGGAAAAATAGCTTACTGTTATTATTTTTATGAATACAGCAGTGGGCTGTATGTTGGAAGAAGTAAAGCCAGCAAATCTCAAAGGTAAATTAAAGGGAGACACACACTCACCTTGCTCTGCCTCAACAAGGCCTGAACCTCAGTGCCTTTGACAATGCCGTGGTTTTTCACATAATTTGGAATAGTAGCACTGTTATCGACCGTCCCATGGATCTCTAAGTGCTTATGGATAACGTCCAGATAAGCCTCTTTACCCTGCAGAGAAACAGCAGAGGAAACAAATGGTGATTTGCTGGAAAATCAATGGATGCGGCACATATTACACCTGACAAGTTGGTATTGTGAGGGGATGTCTGAAAAAAAAGGGTGAACCGACAAACTACTAAACACACAAAAGGTAGAATGAGGGGATATATTTGAAGTGTTTTCAATGCGTATAACAATCAAAACTGCTCCTAAAATGTGAAAAATTAAAAAAAGTTCCTTCATTATTTCCTCTTAATTGGAAAATTTGTCTACCAGGATTTTTACTCAACAGTTTTTTTTTCTATCCAGCCACCCCTAACTAGAACCTGAACGCTTCTTTAGTACTTTATCAAATCAATATAGGTGCCTGAGGAAATAAATATCTTATAGAGTACTTCCCGGAAAAATGCTTGTTTTTTTTGCTTGTTTTTTTTTTCTATTTCAACGTCAGTCCATTGTTACCTTCCAAAACGAGGCTCTCTTGCCGTACACAAGTGCCTGGTTTTGTCTTGTGGTAGACTTTAACTGCTCAGTTTGTTCAGAGGTCAGCTGGTGCTGCACCACAAAGCCCAGGAATGTGTTGTCTGGTGTATGAGCTGCTCACAGTAAGAGAACACACATTTATTAAGACAGGTATTAAAAAAGAAAAAAAAAGGTGCCATTTCTGTGTCTACATATGTAAATCACACAAGGAGCTGTTGGAGAAGAGAAAGAAACAGAAACATACGGAACATGGTGTAGAACTGCATAGGGATCAGGTGCAGGCCGCCAAATGGACTCTTAAGGTTGTTCTTCTGGGCCCAAGCTGCATGATTGAAGTCTGGCTCTGTGCCGAAAGTGTCCAACACACGAAACTTGCACCTGGTCAACAGACAAAGGTACACACACATAAACATATCAACACACACATCGTATCTCTATCTATCTATCTATCTATCTATCTATCTATCTATCCATCCATCTATCTGTCTATCCATCCATCCTCTATCTATCTATCTATCTATCTATCTATCTATCTATCTATCTGTCTGTCTGTCTGTCTGTCTATCTATCTATCTATCTATCCATCTATCTATCATCCATCCATCCATCCATCCATCCATCCATCTATCTGTCTATCATCCATCATCCATCCATCTATCTGTCTATCCATCTATCTATCTATCTATCTATCTATCCATCCATCATCCATCCATCCATCCATCTATCTGTCTATCATCCATCATCCATCCATCTATCTGTCTATCTATCTATCTGTCTGTCTGTCCGTCCGTCCGTCCGTCTATCTATCTATCTATCTATCATCCATCCATCCATCCATCTATCTGTCTATCATCCATCATCCATCCATCTATCTATCTATCTATCTATCTATCTATCTATCTATCATCCATCCATCCATCCATCTTTCTGTCTATCATCCATCATCCATCCATCTATCTGTCTATCCATCTATCTATCTATCTATCTATCTATCCATCCATCCATCTATCTGTCTATCATCCATCATCCATCTATCTATCTATCTATCTATCCATCTATCCATCTATCCATCATCTATCTATCTATCTATCTATCTATCTATCTATCTATCCATCCATCCACCCATCCATCCATCTATCTATCTATCTATCTATCTATCTATCTATCTATCTATCTACCTATCCATCCATCCATCTATCTGTCTATCTATCTATCTATCTGTCTACCTACCTACCTATCCATCTATCCATCTATCTATCCATCTGAACATTACACTCCGTGATTGCTGACCACATAATTCCTAAACACCAAAACATAGCGTTTATATGTCACCATAAAAGCCTCCGCTCTTCTGCTTTCAGAATTTCCACAGGGTCTTTGAAAACCTGGGGATGGGGACCTGTTTTCCCCACATCATTCTACTAACATGAATGCATATACACAAGACTTCAGATTACATTTTAGTGACACATGACAGACAGTCACTTGATTGAAAGTTGAGTGATGGCAACATCCACTTTCTGTTCATCCTAAATTGATGTAAGAAATACATTTATGTTGCCATTTTTGAAATGTTAGATGCAGAAATCAGAACTGCTCCATTTCCCCCGATGAAATTTTAAAACGGTTATATAATTTTCCATTCATCTTCCTTCACTGCATCTGTTCTTTCTGTATTCCTTTTCCTTAAATGTGACAAGAAACTGCTAAATTACTTTCCTTCTTTTAGTCTTTCTCTCCTTTTTTTTCTGCCAGATACCTCATTACCTTATTTGACATTGTCTTTTATCATATCACTATCTCCAACCCACTCCGTCTTTACAGGCCTCAGACTCTGGCTTGCTATTATTCCTGTTTGGTGAAATTATATCATTTATATAAAAGCAGATATTACAAAACAGTAATTGCACCCAACAAGTTTGAACTCGGATCCATATAGTCCTTTCTTATTCTGAGAATTCTGCCAAAATCACTTTACCCTCTGTAACCTCTGTGCCAGCATAATCACCAATTGACTCATACTTGACTCCCCTCTCTGCTGCCTCTTGACTACTTCTCCACTGAAGGACATCTTCAATCTTCTTTTTAAATTTCTATTGCTCTCCTGAGCTAATCATCTACTTGTCTGCGGGGTGATTTTTGGAAAAAAAATCAAAATATAAGGGCAACTGTGTATGTGGAGAGTATTAGAGTAACAGAAAATTACAACACAAGGGGTCAGGGGAAGCTTGCATGCTAGGTCTGGCACTGTTCATGACATCTCTACCCCTTTAGACTCTATTAAATGAAATCTTCCTGACTGAAATACGGTATTATCATCTTCATCAGATGGGAACTTATACAGATGCTAAAACATAGGTGAATTGCATTTAATTTGTATACTTCTGATAAGGCATCACTGTATGAGACATCTCACTCTTTCACTGATGCTGTATGTGCACATAGTCTCACTCTCATGTAACTCACAAGTGCTTTAAAATAATGTCAGGACCAGGGTCTTGATACTCACCTGTATTTTAGCCAAGATGTATTTAGCAGTGCCTGAATCTGTCTAAGGCCGATAATGTCGGTATAGATCAGGTCTGCTTCCACTTTTTTAGTATGAGGTGGGCAGCTGCCTGTCTTAATCCCAAAAAAACTAGAGTGAGAGAGAGATAAACACAAGAATGGATATACAGAAATAGAGTTATTACACATCTGTAGCAATTAAGGAAAAATATGGAATACGTGGAAATGTACACATCAACTAGTTATAACCTCAAAGTTGCACATTACGAGCATGGTGTATGATTTACATGATGCTTTTTCAGCCATAATCACTGGTTTATTGTGTCATATGTCCTATTCCCATTTACCCTAAACCTATTTTGTGTGCATACTCACTGCTTGAGGTCAGGTATGGAGGCAGTAAGGTGAACATGGTGACCCAGGATGTAAAGTGTGGAGATGAGGTCACTCCACTGGACTAGTTCCCCAAGGGGGCCACCACTGAACGCAGCCTCTGCTATTCTAGAACGTGATTCATCTGTAACTGCTCCAGGATGAACCAGAATCTGGGGAGGGGTAGATGTGCGGGAATGAGATTACTCTCCTTTGTTTCATATGTTTTAATTTGGTCAAGATATTTTGCCCACTTGGATCCCAGAAGCAATTTTCTAAGATTTCAAAATAATATGGCTATCACATGAAAAGCTCTTTGAGCATTTAAGGAAAAAGTATCTGTGCCTGATGGCTCATTTCCTGCACAGATAACATTAAATACCCTTGTAATGTATAATGGAAGGCCAGTTTAGTTGAGTTCAAGAAATAGTAAGGTCTCTATGTACGTCATTCACATCTATAAACTTGTTTTCCTGGTTTTAGTATCACTGAAATGAGAACCAAATTTAAGGAGGGAGTGAGGCAGCCAGCTCTAAAAGCATTCTCTAACAAGAAATTAATGTGTCCCTTTCATGAGCATCACTATGGAACTATACATGTCACAGTTCCTGTTTTGTATTGTATTGTTTAGGTATTGTTTTATTGTTATTGTGTGAAGCACTTTGTGTTGCATTCTGTTTGTATGAAAAGTGCTATATGAATAAAGACTGATGACAAAAAAATCCAAAACAGAATCAAAACTACCTGCACATGTTCTCTCTATGTTAAATCAGTGAATGCCATAGTAAGCTACAGCATTAAAGGTCATTAGAGTGACCTGTGTTCAAAAATGATTGCAGATGGAAATAAGTCCCCCTCATCACCATGGTGCCATGTGAGAACAAACAGCTCTTTGGGCGGGGGTAAGGGAACGGTCAATTAGTGTTCCAATAAAAACAGATGGGAGGTATACATTACCTGTTTGGCTTTTCTCTCTGTGAGGTTGTATTTGGCTGAAAGAGAGCGCCCAGCATCAACCCAAATCTTCTCCATACTGCCAATTCTTTGGCGTATCCAACGAAACTGGACTCTGTTTTCCAGAGGGGGGTACAGATCTTTAAAACTTTCCTGTACCACTGCATCGTCAGGCTCTGCCTGTGAAAACAGACAAAAAATTTAGGGTGGGATGTCAGTTTGTTACACTGTTGTCAGCAGGACTGCAGAAAAACTACCTGCCCGATTTTCATGAAACTTGGTGGAGGGGTGTAGCATGGGCCAAGGAGGAAGACATTCAATTTGGGAGCAGGTCTGAATCACAGGATGGATACATCACAAATTATTTCACACTTTTGTTAACATTGCAAGATAGGGCATCTGACCTTGGCAGGAATCTATGCTCTCTATATGCCCTTCTAGCTACCATTTTTGTTAATTTGTGTTGGACTTCCGAATCTCCTAAAAGCACAATGACTTCTTACCTCTTTAGCATTGATAAATCAAATTTGCTCTTTCCAACTGAGCTTAAGAGGATCACAGATCATTGCCAATGTCTCTACTCCAATTTGTGTCAGTTTGAAATTTTGCTTTCCTGGACAATGAACGCCACATACAGTACTAGCATTAAAGTGACATCAACCATCAGGCTATGTAGGCAACTAATTTAGAAAATGAGCTCAGAGGACAATGAAAAATGTTTTGCGTAGGTTTAGGGTGTGTGCTACTGCTAGAAAAAGATTACAAAGATTATATATATTTTACTCACAACAAGTACACACAACTAGCATGCAGTCTTGACATTCTTTCGTTTTTGCTTTTACCTTTTCCACTACATCTTCAGGAATCACTCGGCCTGGAAGTACAGGACACCAGGGCTCTATCTTAACACAGCACAGAAAGAAAGAGGGGGCAGCTACATCAGCATTGATCGTACACTTTTACATCTTTTTGCATTTACAAAATTGAGCACTACACTGAATGTGATGAGGTCTTCACTGAGCTGTGTTACTGCGTGATATGAGAGCTGAAGCCACTTGGGTACCTCACTGAGGTAGAAGAGGAAGGAGCACAGAGATCCATTCACCCCATGACTGCTGTAGCAAGGGTCAGTCCTCCACATGTCCTTCATCCACTGGAGAACCAACACGCCACAGGGGGTCACAACAAAAAACAAGTACATTATTCTGATCAATAAAATGCTTTACACGGTCCAAGTGGAACATAACACTTAACATAAGCTATTCAAGAGCAAGACCGCTGCTGTACAGTATCTTCCATATTTTAATCTCTTTATATTATATTAGAATAGAAATGCATTTTTTTTTCAATGTACACTGAAAACATGACTGAATGAGCAGTCACTAAATTAATTCATTCTAAGGATTTTTTTACCAATGAGGTTTTAATGAAAGGTTGCTACTACAATGATAAAGAAACGTGTTACCTTCAATTTCTTCATACAGTCTGGGTATCCATCCATGGGTGGCAGTGGGCAATTTTTATCCTCTTTGATCTGATCTTCTGAGAAACACACAAACAGCATGCATGCTCTGTTCATTAAAATGTATTCATTTCTTCATTTTGTTTATTTAGTTATTTCACTCTGAGTCCAGTTAGTGATATCATTGGAATAAGTGCTGGAGGAGACTGTGTCAAATTCCTGCTTAATGAAGTGGGAAATACTGCCACTAATGTAAATGTAATAAAAACATCATTCATTCTTTCTAAGTCTAAAATTCAAATATTTAAAGTTTAACCTTCAAGACTTGTTGAGGAGGACAACCTTCATGTTTTCACCACCTGCCTACAGGAGTGGTTTTAACTAGTTCTCACTGGATAAATGCAAAGAAATTCAGCCGCCTGAGGTTGCGCTCCTAACCATGTGTAAAATCCCCTGAAGAGACATTGGTTGAATAAGCGAGTCCAGTCACACAAAGGCGAAGTTGTTTTTTTACATTTCAGGAGTAGTTGCAGGCAGCAGCATTAAAGTCAATCCCTGCATGGAACAAAAAAAAAGTAAAGGCTTTTGTAAGAACAATCCAAGAACCCCGATGCACCCTGTTTCTCTGTGTTTCTCTGAGCGAGTACAGCCTGAGTGTTTGCTTTATTATATTAGAAATGAAAGCATCTGTACAGTGTAGCGGAACAAGTTCACATTTATGATTTAGTAGTTTGACCCACTATTGCCATGTACTGGGATGCTGTCTAATACACAACAACAGGTCGATGTTATTGGCACAACTGACTTCTGCTACTAGACTGCTTTCATTGCAAAGGCAAGGGTACCTTTGTTCAAGGGGAAACCCAAGTGTGGTGTGTTTTAAAACTAACCAAAAAATCATTGTATTCTTTATTACTTAATCTTAACGTAGCTCAAAGTTCACTTGGTTTCACATGGTGCCGAACACCTGGGGGAAAGTCCTGTGTTGTTTAACCCTTCCACCACTCCAGCATGCCGAGAAGGACTTTCAGTCTTTATACTACTTTCTTCTCTACTCCCATCAGCATATTGGTCTGTGATTGCCGTCATCCTGATCACAAGGTTATACTATATATTTATATATATAATAGATATATATTTATAGATTATGCAGGTAATATATGCATTGTGGTGGACTGGAGTTTAACTCAATCCCAGTTACGCTGTCTTGCTGTAGTAAACTTACTAAAGTACCAAACGTGTATAAATCCAAAGCTGAAAATAGTCCCTAACAACAGCACCATCCACTAAATTTTGTGTTACATTTGCTAAAATCTACAGGGCCCAGCTATTTTTCAGGAACTACTTATTTTGCCCAGTCTCACTCTGAAGTCGTCGAAATCCGGTGCTTGGGCAGTGACTTGCAGCATCAGAAACCAATGAAAAAGGTGTCCTTTAACATCGGCATGATAAATGGCTGGTTGCCATCATAGTTTAATGGCGCCCGCTGGCATCAGGGGGGAACACGGTGGGACGAGGACGAAAGGTAAGGTGGTGAAAGTCTGAGTAGGGCAGGCAGGAGGAGTGGTGGATAGGCCTAACAAACACAGACTTTCCCCTGAGAGAGCAGTGCTCGTGTCCCATAAGATTCTAAAGCCAAACCCTGCTCTTTTTTCCTAAACCTAACCATGTGTGTTTGTTGCTGAAGGAAAAAAAACGTCAATTTGTGGTGTTCTACTGACTTGGTGCATTTATTTTGAAAGAGACTGTAATCAACCGTAAAATTACTTGTTAAAACGGAGGTGTATCTTGAAAGAAGAGAACTTGGCACAGTGTCCCAGAATGCCAACAACCAACATACCTAGCATAGCTTGCATGTCTTATGTGGACGTGGAAAGTCATGAGTAAAACATCAATATATGACAAGGTCGGAGTGAGAATGTGTTGACTTAGCCTTTTCTGAAAAAAGCACCTCATTAATTTTTGATCCATTGAAGATTTGAATCTTAAGTATAAGGTAGGGAAATCACAACATATTGAGAGACAGACAAAGGCATTGTTGGCTTTGGACATGTCATTGAAATTGCTGACAATAAGAGAAAGAATAACATAAAGCCAATAGACTAGATAGTCAAGAAGGTACATCTAGACAAGGTTTTTGTTCTGTGATTTTTTTCATATCCCCACATGACCAATCTCAGATCACCACTTGTGTGCTGACATGACTGGAATCGCTTCAGAATAAATTGCATGTACTGAGTTTCTCCATGTTAAAAGCAGGCACTGTGGAACTATTTAGAATTCTGCACGTAATTTGATCAAGAGTAATTTTACCAGTTTTGCCTTGTTCTGCCTGTAGCTTTAGGAGTTCCTCCAAGTGAGCCACTTGCTGCTGTAGCTGTATTTTATCCAAGCGCAGCTCCTTAATCATCTCATCCCTCATTTGTCCCTTCTCTTTTTCTGCCTCCATTTTAATCTGGAGTGACTGAAATTCTTCTTTGTAGTTCTTCAAGGGAGGTGGAGGAGAGACTGAGAGAAAGAGAGTTTGTTGTGTTGAGTCATCAACCCTCTGCTCTGAACATATTTTCAAGAAGATGGCATCAAAAAAAAAACTGTTTAAGCAACTGGCCATTCTATACCTAACTATAGGTAACTATACTCTAACTATAACTCAGTGAATATTTCTCTTTCATTTCGATGTAGTGTTTCTTCACTGAAAATGTATTTTGATGTTAACTGAGATCTGTGGAATAAGTGTGTATTTGTATGACAGTAAAGAAACATGATAAGACCAAAAAATCTTTCTATCTTTTTCCTCGTCATAAAGCTCCATTATTGTCCAAAATCCATTAAAAAACAAACAAACAAACAAACAAAAAACATCAGTGAGCTACACCACTGGATGACATGTTAATTTATTGTACTCAATCCCATTTACGCCGTCTTGCTGTCGTAAACTTAGTACAGCAAGAAATGCAAATAAATCCATGGCTGAAAGTAGCCCCTAACAGCAGCACCTGTAGTTCATCTTTAAGTAACATTTGCTAAAAGCTACAGCGCCCAGCATTTTTGCAAAACTACTTTGCCTATTTTGAAAAACCAAATATTCACTATTGACCCATTTCTAAAGATACAGCCTTCAGTAGGGAGGAGAAGGAAAATCATAACATACTTTAGACGTAACTTTAATCATTTTGGACAACTTTCTGCACTGTCATGGTAGAGTTTCTTATATTAAAACTTGCATCTGGGGGAATTCACTTAGCATTCAGTTCTTAAATTGATCAAGAGTCATTTTTACCAGATTTGACCTTCTCTGCCTGTAGCTTTAGGAGTTTCTCCGTCTGAGCCACGTGTTGCTGGAGATGGAGTTTTTCGGAACGCAGCTCCTTAATCATCTCATCCCTCATTTTTCCCTTCTCTTTTTCTGCCTCCATTTTAATCTGGAGTGACTGTAATTCTTCTTTGTAGTTCCTCAATGGAGGCATGGGAGAGACTGAGAGACAGAGAGTTTGTTATGTTCATTTGAGTAATTATCCCTTTGCTTTGAGCATATTTTCAAGAATTTCAACAACAGTCATTAGTCATATCAGTTAGCAAATAATACTCCGGAAATTCCTATTTAAATTTGATAAAAAATGCAGTTTTGAAATATTATATTTACTGACATGAGTGTGTATTTGTGTGGCAGAAAAAAAAACATCTTTTTTTGGACAGTTTGCTTACAGTTGTTAGAGGATCCCACGATGTTCAGGAGATTATCCACAAACGTAACAATATTCTTCATTATTTCTAGGAAAGACAAGGGGAAATGTTTTTGAGCAGAAAAGTCAGGGGGAATTAAGAAAGAGAGGAGAGTGGAGGCTGTGATGTATACTAAAAAACAAGAAAAAAAAAACGATATTTCAGGATGCAAAAGATTCTACTGACATAACAAAAAATATTTTTCCACAGAAAGTTATTGACTTAGTGAAATTTTATCCACTGTTACCTTAATTTCACTCCTTATTTTACATCCTGTATCCCCTCTCATGAATAGCTCCTATTTGGATGTTTCTTTAGCTGTATCTAATGTCCTTAAAGGACCAGTGTGTAAAATTTACAGGGATTCAGTGACATCGAGCAGCAAGGATTGCAGACTGCAATCAAAAGAAATTTCACCCATAGTTTCTCCCACAGTTCCACGTTACAAAGGCCATGAGCCCAGCACCAGCTAATGTGTGCTCACCTTGCTCACTGAGCAGTGGCTCTCACTCATTCTTCCGCTCAGTGTGTGTGTGTGTGCGCACTCCTTATTTGACTCAGGAGGTGCACAGACCTGTTTCAAACTGCTAAAAAACACTTAACAAAGCAGTTTCACGTCACAAATCAGTGTTTCTTGTACACTATTTGGCTTGTCCCTGACATGTCAGTCGCCCATCACCAGCTAATACATGCTCACCTTTTTTTCCCAATAAGTTAGGAGGTTTTGACTGGGGCTGAATTATCCTTAGAGGTATCCTCCTCTCCAAAACAAACAGACCCAGTCATATAAGTTTGTATATTTATGTGTTATTTTTCTGTAACTGCTCATTCTGGAGGGGCTATGGTGACCAACACATGCAAATGGCCTTATCTGCAGCTAGTCTTTGGTTTGTCCATTCTGGGCCACTGTGAAAACATGGTTCTGCGACACGGCAATGTCCATGGACACGGATCTGTTCCCTGTGTAGATATAAATGGCTCATTCTAAGGTAACAGAAACACCATTCCTATTATCAGATGATTATACACTAAAGAAAACACACCTCTTACATTATATTTCTGCCGATATATGCCCCTATATCTTACACACTGGACTTTTATTGCAACCTGTTTCCCTTCAGTTCTACAGTGTGCAGTTAAAATGGCGGAGGGTTAATCATTCTCCATTCAAATAAGCTCCACTGGTGAACAATGCTAACTCAATAAATGTAGCCTACTACATGTGGTATCTGCCCAGTATGAAAAACATGCATACCTCATTTGCTTTACTGCTTAACAGCTATGTGAGGAAGAGAGAGCATGTTACTCACTGTGATTATTTTCTTACACACAAAAATGTGTATAAAAGTCTCTCCTCTCCTCTGTTCTCACCTTCAGCCCTGCCTGTTTCCATCCACACTTTGCCGTGCCGTCTCAGTGTGTTGTGACCGGCCACACTGATGTCCCCTTGCTCAGCATTGCTCTAAAGTCAGTTCAGACAGACAAGATACGTCACACAACACAGAACACTGAATTTAAGAAGAGGTTTGTATGAGGCAAACAGTTGTGACCTGACTTTAATGTTTATGTTATAGGTGAATGAACGAATGAGAATACAGACCAGGATGAAATATGGAAGACTCAGAAGCCAGATGAAACCAATGACCAGTAGCAAAAACAAGGTCCTCCACAGGGGGTCCTTTGACCTTCTCATGATTCAAATGGGCTCAGCCTGATGCAGCAGAGTTGAATGTTGGGTGGCATTGGCCTTGTTTTAAACCAGGTTACAAGGTTATTTTACATTAATGCAGAGTGTCCTTAACATAGAATTCTGCATGTTCAGTGGTGAGACAGGAGTAAAGGAGTGTATCTGATGTGTCAAAGAGAGAGAGAGAGAGAGAGAGAGAGAGAAACACAAAGTAATTGTTATTTGAGCCTAAACAGAGAATATAAATTGACTGAATATCTGCACTCTGTCAGAGACAGGAAACAAAGACTAATCCTGACCAAATACAGGCTGAGTGACCATCGCCTGGCAGGAGAAACAGGGAGACACAGACAGGCATGGCTGCCCAGAGAGGAGCATGTATGTAGTAACTGCTCGACAGGAGAGGTAGAAAGTGTACTTCCTCCGCCACTGTGACTGTGTGTTCCCCTCAGTCAGAGATTTCCATTCTGGAGAAATAGCTAAGAAAATCACAAACTTCCTCACAACTGAAACTAGCAGTCCTCACAGATGAAGGGACGACAGCTCCTTTGGTGGCTAAATGCATCTGCCTAGGCTCAATCAACATGCGCATTCTCTTTCTCTTGAAGTGGGTGGTGCTGGGAACAGATCCCCAGACGAGTTCACTGCAAATAAATGCATCTGCCTGCCACAGCCTGAGGGACTAACAACTAATATGTATTCAATTGTAAATAGATAAATAAAAAAAATGCAGTGTACTATATTATATTGTATAGTAATCAAAAATGGACAGCAGCAGTATGATATAGAACCTGTATGTGACACCTGTATATTAAATATGTATGTAATGAATTAATGTATGTAACATGTCAAATGTGATTACTTTTTATTTTTACTTCTAATTATTTACTTGTTTTTTTTTATGAAATGCTTTAGCAATAACATATCTGTTCATGCCAATCGAGCTATTTGATTTGAAGATTTAAGACTGAGAGAAAGAGAGAGAATGAATGAAATTATTTTTTTTTCTCTCTCTCTCTCTCTCTCTCAGACATGTCAGACCATAGATTATGATTTATGTTGTTGATGTTCCTTTATTGTTTAACATCCCATATCTAATTAGACATTAAAGGCACAAGGGATATGAGAAGCTACAATGGGACAATGATAATGATGATGAATGGCACAATGCTAGAAAACTTTTCGCTACTGGCTCCACACTTCATTTAGCATAACACACATTTCTTTACGGCTCTCCCTTGTGACTTCTCTAAGGCAGTGTAACACATTGACATTTTTGTTTTAAGTATCCAGCATAGCTCTTATCTCCAAAGTAAAGAATTACAACACTTACCTCTGGACAGTCCTGTAACCAAATGATGACTGTGTGACCACTGACTGTTCTTTGGCGGTATCTCCCAGATGCAAATGATCTGCACACAGGACAAGTTCTGGGACAGATGCCCTGTCAGACTTTAAAGCACCTCAATATAACCAGTTTGCCAACCTGTCAGCCTGCATAACTGCAGTGTGACTTGTGGTAATAAGCCCCTCTTTGCAGCCTCCAAGGAAGGCCAACCTGTTTTACACGTCTTCAGTCTGTCATGTCAGTGTTTTGTTTTAATTATGTGGTTTCATTTTTTTTTTTTTTGGTCCTAAAATATACAGTATGTCCTCTCTGTGTTACACCAGTGTATAAGTGCTCTCATCCCATGTTGAATGGGCTCGATCAGCTGGGTACGTACTGTAGTTACTTTTATTCTCCTTCTTTTACTTCTACTGTTTTTAACTTACATTACATCCATTTGACTTCTCTTAAATTGCACATATTTAATTTGATTAATGCTGATTGCTGATGTTTAACATATGCTGATGTACTAAACATTAACTTAATTTTTGAAAGTAGTATGTCAAAGCCTCAATTAAGCTAATCACAAAATGTTCTAAATTTCCTTATATTACTGTTTACCAGGAAATTCAATCAAAAGGTGCAACTTCTATATTATATTTACTGAATACCAAAGCAAGCACTTTTGTTGTAGCACTCATTTCAGTTTGGGTGTAGCGTTGTCTTTAGGAATACATCAATAAAAAGTGGAAGGGGAACATACGCAATAATACATTCCATGTACTAAAACAAAAAATGCACCTCAGGGCAAACAGCCCTCTGTTCCCCCTATTGTTAGTGTTTCTGGGCATTGAAGGTCTTCATTCACTTTACTCAGGATCTGCCATAGTAATGTTAGATTTGACTCTGAAAGATGAACAAGTTAAAGGTCCAGTATAGAGGAATATATTGGCAGAAATGGAAGATAATATAATTTCTATATAATTTTGTGTATCATCACCTGAAAATAAGAAGTTTTGAGTTTTTGTTACATTAGAATGAGCTGTATCTGTAACGGAGCTACATACAGAGCGGGTCCACTGAGTCTGCTATTTTGCTTCAGTAGACCAAACACTGGCTCTAGATAAGGACATTTGCATTTTTGTGTCAGCTACCATACTTAGCAGCCCATCCCCGACAAGTAACATCAGAAAAACACCATTTTTTTTTTATCTGGGGCCATAGTCACACATACTCTGAGAGTACGCTCAAAGAGCTCCTAAATTAGACTAAACCTTTTAGTAAAGAGTCTAAGTTTAGGAGTGATTTAGGAAAGTTCTAAGTACAACTCTGAGCAACTCTGAGCAAAGAAGGGACGGAAACTTTCATCTTAGTGAGGAGGTGTTGTTGACCATGTTGCTAGGTATAATGCTCCAACAGATGTGATTGGTTGTCACAGACACGCCCCTTTTGTGAGCCTGCAAGGTGTGGACACCCAGTGGAAATGAAATGAACTGTGTGAGAACACGTCATGAGACTATGAAATTGTTGTCATTGTTAGTGTGATCACTCAGCCGATGAAAGGTTGAGACAGACAAAAGTCATCACTGCTGCACTGTTGCATTTTTCCAGTTTTCCAAATATCTTAGTGTTGTGATCATTTTATGTCTGGCGTTATAGCGTTAGGTGGGAAATGTGTGTGCATCCCTAATGACAGCAACCACACATATTATCCCTGTATGATCTAATCTGTAGCATTTCATTTACTCACTGTCATTTAGCGTTTGGAGAATATTTCTCCGACCTCTTTGTGTTTCTGCCATTTTTTCCTCTGATTAAGAAACTCTTAAATCACTTAAAAGTCCTCCCCCCTACTCATTACAGTTTTTCACCTTAGGAGCTCTTTTAAGGGTTACTTACTCACTTTGTGAATGACTTTAATCTTTTCAAGGACCTAACTTTAAGGGGAAATTCTAAGAAAACGTCACAATTCTAAGAATTTTCTTAAAATTTCGTCACTAGGAGCAACTCTTTGTACTAGGAAGCTTTGTGAATACGGCCCCTGGTCTGTTTGTCTTGGAACGGAAGAGGCCTCTTCAGATAATTCCCAGTAAAAACCCTCTGAACAAGGAACACTGAAGGACCAGCCTCAAGTGGCCATTCAAGGAACTGCAGATTTTGGCTCTTCTGCATTGGCTTCATTTGTCACCCTCAGATGTTGCCGCTTGATTATGTCTTTGGCTATTAGGTTTTTTGCAAGGATGGATTAATGACCTCACCTGACCTCCTTCCTCGCAGACCTTACTGATTTTCCACTGGTCAGCTCAAAGGGTAATCAAATCCATCTGTAAATAGACACATCTGTCTTTATTACTGCCACTGATATCTGTAGTAGGCTAATATCTTATTGTCAGAAATAGCGCCACAAGATCATCAGCAGGAGCAGGTATGGTGTTCGAATGGTTGATATTTGACAAAGTTATTGATCATTTTGAATGTCCACATGGATAATCAATGGAGTCCAAAACAGAAGTCACTTACAGTATCATACCAATGTATAGCTTGTTATTCAAGGTCTTCAATATACAGGATTTTCCTGAATAACAATATACAGGCTCACACAGAAGTAATCTCTCTCAATCACCACATATGACCCCCTAGAAGTGTTTGGCGGTGTATTTTTCTGCAGAGACTCTGCCCTCTGCCTGTATTTGCTCATTATTATCTGTGCTCAGGACGTTCGTGATTATGTGCACCCACAGTGCATAGGCGAGGTCAAGGCTTCTGAAAAGGTAGTGACCAGGTGCCAGTTTGTAAGCAGCTGGAGTCCAAGAAACACAGCATGCTGAAAAATATGCAAATAAAGCAAGGTGAAATGGCAAACAAAAGTAAATCTGGGGTTGGCTTTTACTTTCACTTTTGTTGGCGAGCGTAATGGTAACTGACAATCCTGCATAGTATGACTGTATATGCAGGGGTGGACTGGGACTGAAATTTAGCCTTTCTAGCAGTAAAACTAATACAGGTTTGTTTTTTTTTTGCTAAGGATGTCCTTCTGACACCTGCCCCCTCAGTTTGTATCTCGAATTCATAGTCACTGAATACTACAGTCAATAGTGCAGCTGTAATTGGATCTGTGTTGGTTCACCCTCCTCCTCCATCCCTTTCTCTTTCTTGCTCAGAGTTCACCTGCAGAGTAGAGTTCATGTTCACCTGTAGAGTATTTATTGCTGGGCTAGCTATCAGATATTATGTACCTTACAGGCTATAATGCGAAAAGAACTGATGAATAGTCCAGAAGAAAAGTATTAAATTTACATGTTTATTTTACCCATGTCCAGTCAAATTTTGGGGACATTTTTTTAACACAGTCTCTTTAATGTACACATTTGAAGTGATCTTCTCTAAAAGTTTGTGCACTCAGTCCGACTCTGCATTTAACCCCAAAGTTAACAAAAACATCTGCGTCTTTAATTAGTTTATTTAGCTGGTTTACAGCACAAAACATGTAATCTTGACACAGCAGCACCTGCTGCCAGCTGCTCATGCCTCTCTGATGTTCCTGCTTCAGGTTCCTCACCACTGTCCTCATCATCACCTGCTGGTGCTGCAGACTGCTTAAATGAATTAGTAATCTCTGTGTACCTGCAGTGTCAGCCAACAAAGCCTTTTTCTTTTTTTTGATGGCAATGGCTGCTTCCTGCTATTACGCATTGCAGCTAAGGTAGCTGCTGGCTGCTTCTGCTGTATGATGCCAGGGTCCCTCTGACCCTTACAAGACCGCCCACCAGGAAGATCTCTGAACTTCCCAATGGCCAGTCTGAACCTGTTGAAAGGTCAAATGTTTTAACTCAGGCTTTAATTAAACACCACAGCTCTTTTCTGGCAGCACCTGGATGACTGTTGGATACTTTGCTAACTCCAACTAGAACTTTGAAACAGTCTGAAAAAAAAAACTTGTTGAATACCACAACTTACTGGAATTATAAGACTGGTATTCACCATGTGTAGGATTTGGTGGCAGAAACTGAAACTTCTCCTGTCTGCCAAGCCAGCCAGTTACCAACTCATCAAATACTGCTGCTTTGTCAGTGATCTGGTTAGAGATTGACACACAAAGGGACCTTTAGCAGCAGTATAATAAGTGCTGGGCAGTGGCAGTTGTTCATACAGCAGCCAGCAACTGAAGTCATCAACTACCACTGCTTTGTCAGTGGATGTTAACATAAGATACTGACGCACAAAGGCACCTTTGACGGCATTATGAAACGCACAGGCGGGCAGCAGTTTGTAATGCTACAGTAACTACCATAATATAAAGAGCGAGAAAGTCCCCAGAACAGGCCAAACAAACACCGGACTTTGACCTGGGAGCCCGCTGTTCATTTGCAATGTGAAACCAAAAGAATTAGAATTATTTGAATAACAATGTAGCTTGCTAGTATGTGTAGCATGCTATGGCAGTGATGTACATCCGGTCACATATGTCAAGTGATGTTATATAATGTTAGTAACAACAACTGTAGGCTGCTTATTTTAATCCAAACCATAATGTTTTTTTTTTTTAAACCTAACCTTGGCCTCTGTTGCCTCAACTTAAGGAAACAATCATAAAAACATGGTGTTTTAGGTACATTGTAAGTTTATTTTGAAAAGACTATGCATGTATCTAAAAAGCATAAATTGACATGCCATCACAAAATGTAATAACCAGACACAGGAGGATACCTAGTGCATCACATTTTACCAGTTATGTTCACTGACAAAGTGGTGGTATTTAACAAGTTGTGATGACACCCATTGGCCAAGCATGTAGGAGAACTATGTTGGGCAACACAAAAACATGAATGGCACTATCTTTAGCCAGTCTTTAGCCCCTTTTACACTGCCAGATTTTCCACGGATGTTGAGCCGTTTTGCCGGCAAGCTGCGAGCGTTTATACACACAGAGCCGGATTGGCAAGTTGATCCGAGGTGCCCAATTTTCCGCCTCGTAGGGTAGTCATATTGGCGGAACCCTTTCAGTTTAAACAGACCGAGGCAGCCTTCCGCAATGGGAGGGGCTGTTGATGACTTGTGGGAGGAGCTGTTGATGACGCCGCACGTGCGACCCACTGGTGGTGGATAAACAGGAAACAGCTGATAGCAGGAATTAGCAAGCAGCTAGTAGCAAGAGGGAAACACAAACCAGCCGTGGCTTCCCTCCCACGTCACTGTTTACGTCACACGCTGAGCTACACGTTTTGTTACTTGCTCACACCCCCCATTGCCCTGAAAAAGGCACATTCTGTATAAACAAAAGTAGGTAGGCGGCAATTTGCCGCACTCCCTGATTTTGTTTTTATACTGCCAATGCTG